GAGACTGTTGTTGATAATGATGGACAATATAATTAATTATTCGGTTATTTTTTCTTTGAGAAATAAACTATTGAAAAAGTGACAAAGACTTTCCCGCCAACCTAATATTAGGGATGCGAGGGGTCCACCAGGTCTGCAATGCCATGGACCGTCTTATGAAGAGTATTCTTGGTAAAACATTTTTGGAGTTATCCTCTAAATAAAGTTAGAAAGTCTAGCGGTTTTTTCTAACCAGAAACATGTAAGCCTAAAACTGAAATATGTGATTTTTTAAATAAAACAAAACGGAATTTCAAGTTGAACACTTGTTCAGCTATGAAGGAATTCTGAAGAAACGGATGAAAAATGCTTAAAAGTTTGGGTAATGTTGAGTTCGATAAAAAGAAATTTTTCAAACCACAGGGATTTTCCAGGTCGAGAAGTTTACATCACCTTTACCCAAATTTATCTCGGTTCCTGTAAAATATATTAAAAAGTGATGAACTGACAAGATGTCCTTGTTATTATGATGAAAATTTTGTTAATAGAAGACTTATTGATATATTCTACAGTAATCGAGATACCGCAGACAATATTATAGAATTCCCTCCAAGCTGTCCGATTTGAGCCGATTTTACAGGTTTTATGGTGTTCCAATCTCCCTTTAAAAAGCGAAAAATCACTTCATATATGCCTGTCAAGAAACCACTCTCATTAATAAAATGGTTGATAAATTTGCACTATATAGTACAAGGTGCCTTTGCAATCATTTTCCATTCATCACCTAATCTTGAAAGTGCAATATCACTTTTTTCCATTCGAAAATATTTTCTCACCAGTAATCCCTTTTTATTTTCATGAATTTCTAACGAGCTTGAAAATTAGTTTTCTGTTTTTTTACAATTTATTCAAACAGTAAAACATTTTATCCCAACAAACCTACAATTTTCTATCAGATGACTAATCGGAAACTTTGAAATTGTTTGTTTTTTTTCAAACTCGTTGTTTCCTGAATGTTTTTGAATCTTGTGAAATCGTTTACTCTTATTCCCAAGTTGCAATCCGAACTCAAAAGATCAAGCAGAATTTTTATCACTTCAAACATATTTCATAATTCTCTTGATGTCTCAACTTCCGGAACTTTTTCGCAGATTTCAGGAAATTAATTTTCAATTTTAATTAATAATTTCAGCCCTCGAGCCCTGCCAACTTTTCAGATTGATTAACATAAAACCCCTATAAACAATACATTGTCATATCTTTCGCTTCTTTGCCCTCTATATTTTTTCACCAAATATTTAGTTATTTCTCAATACCCCCAAGTTTATTTCCGGTATTCTAGAATCTTCTGAAACCTTTCCGAGATGATTATCAGAATGAAGTTATCTGGCAGTATACCTTTTTGTTATCACTTTGCTCTGTCTTGTGACGTACCGTATCCCAAGAAAAAGCTTAAGCCCACCCCATACGCAAACGGTGAGCTCAATTATCTCGGTTTCCATTAAAGATATAAAAATGTGTCAACTGATAAAATATTTCTTATTTATCAGCTACATTTTTCAGTTGACAAAATTTTGGTATCGCTCATAGGAACCGAGATAATTTAGCTCAAAGTGCACAAATACAGTCCGCAAATGGGAGACTATTAGGTTGGCGGGAAAGTCTTTGTCACTTTTTCAATAGTTTATTTCTCAAAGAAAAAATAACCGAATAATTAATTATATTGTCCATCATTATCAACAACATGTCTCCAACGTTCCCTCAATTTATGGATTCCATTGCGGTAGAATCCAGCCGGGCGTGAGGCAAAGTATTGTTTGAGTGCCGCTTCGACCGCTCCACGGGAATTGAAGCTTCTTCCTTCGAAGGCACGTGTCATATCGCCAAATAACCAATAGTCGGAAGGAGCAAGATCAGGAGAATACGGGGGGTGAGGGAGAACATTCCATCCATATCCCATCAGCTCCTGCTTCACTTGTTTCGAAACATGTGGGCGAGCGTTATCATGTTGATAGTACACTTTCTTGTCTTTCAGGGCCGAACGGTCGACTGCTTTCTTGAGGTTTCGTAGTTGAGTAGTGTAGAGGTCTCCAGTTATTGTTTTGCCCTCGGGCAGAAGTTCCCAGTAGATGGGGCCGTCCACTCCCCACCACACAGAGAGCATAACTTTTTTCGGATGAAGGTCGGGTTTTGGGACATCCTGTGGGCTCTCTCCTTCTCCAACCCACTGGGATTTCCTGTGGTGATTATCGTAGAAGACCCACTTCTCATCTCCGGTTATTAGCCGGTCCAGCCATCGATCGCCCGCGTGGAGAGTGAGAAGAGTAATCGAATCGTCGACTCGGCGGTCAAGGTTGGCTTGAGTCAGGTGATGAGGTATGAATCGACCAAAAAGTTTTCTCATTCCAAGAGACTTCAAACCTTCAAGGACTGTGCTATGGTGAACTCCGAATGTGACAGCTAGTTCACGGCTAGATTGAAATGGATCCGATTGCAATGCGTGCTTCAGCTTGTCCAAATCCAACTCACGGGGTCTCCCAGAGCGATCCTTTTCATCGAGCGAGAAGTCATCTTTTTCGAAACGATGGAACCAATTGCGAATAGTATTGTAGTGAGGGGCATGTGTGTTGTACACATTCTTCAAGAAAGTTTCCGAATCCTTCATCGTGGTGTGAGATAGGAAGAGGTAAATCAAAACATGTCTGATGTGAATAGCAGTGGGAACAAACATATCGTTTCAATTACAGATGAGGAGCAGGGAAGGAAATGGGGACTTGTTTATATGGAAGGTTCTTATCACCTTGTTATTCACTAGAGTCGATATCATACACAGCCTCCATATACGAGAACAGTGATTAAACAAACAGAGTGACAAAGACTTTCCCGCCAACCTAATATTTACGATGGTTTTGTAAAAACAGAGTACTGGAGAGCATATCAACACCCTATAATTACCCAGTCACCTGCGAAATTTCCAATTTTGCCCCCAATTTCCCAATGCCCATTTTTCTGACATGCTGTCCTTTTTCCAATATCTCGAAGCTTCTAAATTTCGGACAATTTCCGTTTTGAGAAAGGTCATCTTCGGGGGTCTGAATAGGTTAATATATCTTTAAAAATGTAATAAAATTTCCAGATTAATATAGAAGTTCCGTTTTTATAATAGAATCTGATCCTTGCTCTATGACTTGGACTACCGTATTTGCTTCCATAGATGCCCACACTATTCGCACACTTCGAGTTTGAAATCTTGGTTTTTTAAAACATATCAAAAATTGGCCAACTTATAAAATATTTATCATATTAACAACTACATTTTATCAGTTGACAACTTTTCGATATCATTTACATGAACTGAGATAATTGACCTCAAAATGCACGGATAGGGTGGGCTTAACCACTGACTAATTACCGTGCTGGAAGAGCCAAAGCGCTGGCTTCGACTACCCACTAATGAGGAAATGAGACTTTTTTCTTGATTTTCAAATTTTCGGTTTCTGAGTTTTGATTAGTGTCAGTTAAGATTTTTTACTTCAAAAGTATAGCAACTCAGACATTCCTCCATCATAGTTAGTTATTAATCCTTAATCCCCTCACCGGGCGAGCCTCGCCGAGGTTGATTTCAAAGGCTTCGTATTCTTCCCGAACCTTCTTCTCAAAAGTTAAGACCTTTCCTTCCCCTCTTTTAAAAATTTGTCCTCTTTTCATATCTCCACCCTCACACACCATTCCTCCCCCTCCTTTTTCTTTTTCCTACTTTTCGAGTCATCATCATCTCCCGGGGCAACCAGTTGATAACTAGCTAATACATGTACACATACATCTTAGCGGAAAAGGAAAAAAGATAAATACCTGAAGAAGAGAGAAAGAGAGAGAGAGAGACAGAGAGAGACGAAAAGTCGTGGTGGGGGATAAGAAATTTGGAATCCTCTTTCCTTTTTCCTCTGCGCATCTTTCCTTTTCTCCTCTTCCTTCCCCATATCTTTTTCGTGACACTTATTGCTCCTTCCTGGAAAAATTTTAATTCTGACGTCATCTGGAACTTATAGTTCCTAGACATGTGAAGTCTGAGCAACCTACGTAAAGTGCATAAGACACAAAGTTTAATAAGTTTTCTATCATAAGCTTAATCCTTTTTTTTTCTATTCTCTTCTTTTTTTCAATTTCCGGAGCTTGTTGCTTCCCATCCGTAGCCCTTATCAAACATCCCATTAATTTCAAAATGTTTTCAGAATGGCTGATACTGCAGTTCAAAATGCTCCAGATCCTTCAAACCCATCCACATCGAATGGCGTTGGACAGGCTGGAGCTCCTGCTTCGAAGAACATATTTTCTAAGGCATCAATTAAGGATTTTTTTCTTTTTGACCTCTTAAATTTTTCAGCTAGCACGGCGATCGAATCAGGTCCACTCGTCCACAGAGAGCGCTGCAAACCTTTTTGCACAGGCAAGATTTTCCGTTTAAAAACTCTGCTGAAGTTTCAAAATTTTCTAGAAGTACATAGCCAATGGGAATGCAAATGACACCGCAACACCACCACCGCCAGGAGCAACCACTGCAGCACCGGCCGGACCGAATCCGCCTGGAGGACCTGTATCCTCTGATGGAACGTCTTCAGTTGGACCTCCACCTCCCGAACCGAAATTGAGCATTTTCAAAAGAGCAAGAAAATATGTGGCCGAGTACACACAGGATCCGTCGAGCGATAATTTTTATTATTGGACTTGCGTAGTGAGTTTTTTTCAAAGATTTTGATTTTTTTTGTCTGGATGAAAATCTCGGTGGCGGGGTTTAGATTTTAATGTAATTTCCAACAAGATAAAAAACGAAAACTTCAAAACTGCAGAAGAAAAATAAATTTGAAACTTCACAATTTCAGTTTATTGATATTTTGAATCCCCAACATCAACTACCGCAAATTCCTGTGGAAGATAACAAAAATGTGTAAACTTTTAAAATGGAGCTGATAATATGAAGAATATTTTATCAGTTGACAACTTTTTTATATCTTGTACAGGAAGTGAGATATTTGGGCTTAAAGTAGCCTGCCTGGTGGCCTTTCTATTACAGGTGCTTTAATCTGAAATCTTCAAAATGAAACACAATCTTGTTCAGCTACATTTTTAAAACCTCTTCGATGTTCTTAACGTTTTCAAAATTTTATTTTTTGTAGGTGACTGTCGCTTACATCTACAACTTGCTCTTCGTAATCGCTCGACAAGTTTTCAACGACCTCCTAGGACCGTCTTCTCAAGCTCTGTGCATATTTACAAATGGAACTCTAAACAGCACAACACAAATGGAATGTACTGATGACTTGCTGAAAAATATGAAACAAATGCCAACCTATTCCCAATATCCGGATCTTGGATGGTCCAAATATTGGCACTTTCGATTGATTTGGGTATTTTTCGATTTGCTAATGGACTCTGTCTACTGGATAGACACATTTTTGAACTATCGAATGGGTTATATGGATCAAGGATTGGTAGTTAGAGAGGCTGATAAAGTGACAAAAGTATATTGGCAAAGTAGTCAATGGAAATGGGATGCTGCTAGTTTGATACCCCTGGATTATCTGTTCGGATGGCCGATTCCAGTTCCGATCGTCTGGAGAGGAATGCCAGTATTTCGACTGAATCGTCTCGTTCGATATAAAAGAGTTCGGGATTGTCTGGAAAGAACCGAGACGAGAAGCTCAATGCCAAATGCATTTCGAGTGTTGGTTGTCGTTTGGTACATTGTTATTATTATTCATTGGAATGCTTGTCTCTATTTTTGGATCTCGGAATACATTGGATTGGGAACGGATGCATGGGTTTATGGACATTTGAACAAACAGAGTTTGCCAGAGTAAGTTGAATTCTTTGATTTCCTGGAAGAGACTCAAGCATAATTCACAGTTTTTGTGCAAAGCTTCAAAATTATACAAGCCTTATAGTACCTGAAAATACTTGTTTTATCTGACTTAAACATAAAAATTTTTAATTTTACTTTTTAGAAGTTCCCAATTTTTTATAAGTTAATTCAAATCACCGTAAAAACACTAATATAAAACCGCCCAATGCTTGCACTTTAAGCTCAATTATTTCATTTCCATGCAACATATATCAAAAATGTGTAAACTGACAAAACATTTCTGATAATATTAGTAACATTTTGTTAGATGACAACTTTTTATATCGTTGACAGGAAACGAGAAAAATCGGCTCCAAGTTAAAAGTTAGGGGCCCTTCTACATATTACAGGGGCCGTTCAATTCGAGGGGACCCTCCTATTTTTCCATCCATTATCCAAAAATTAAAAAAAAGATTTTAGTGTCGGATACTCCATTTTTTAAGGGGAGGAGGATTTTCAATAAAACACTTCGAGACACATTCTCTGAAAGAACCGAAAACAGGGCTGTACAGAAAAATTCAAACTTGTTTTTTTCTAGTTGATTTTTCATTTATTACATGTTCATTGCCTTCTAAAGTATATGAGATATAGTTTGTCCCGACTTGTCCCACACCTGCAAAAATATGGCCGTGGGGTGTCTAAAACATTTTTTTTCAAAAGTGAAATAATGATCAGATCTTAACGTAGAAGGTTTTTGGGCACTATTTTAAACGTTTTTTGTATTGGCACTATATTCATATTCGCCCATTTTACTAGGAAAAATTTCAAATTTTTGCAAAAAAGCTATTTTTTGGACCAAAAAATGGCCGTCCTGAAAAAAATTCCATTATTTTAACAAAATAAACATCAAATTTAGATTTCTCGTAAAAAAATACAACAGGAGCTGTTTTGAGATAAAAGATAAACATGAGCCCCTATGAGTTTTAGGCCAAAATGTGCCCAAAAATGATGTTTCACCTGCTGTCATGGCAACATGGCAACTGAAAATCACCCAAAATCGACCCTCACCAATTTTGATGAAATTTTCACCAGATGCATCATTTTTCATGTGTGGTGTTTTGGCAAAGTTTCATAATTTGTTCTCATCGTCTCCGTGCATTTTCAAAAGCTCCAAAAAAGAGGCAAAAACTGCTTCCAAGTCAGGGCTGGGATTTTACGTTTACGGATTTTACGGTTTTTACGGCATTTTGAGACAAACGTAAAATTTTACGGGTCTCCGTAAAATTGTTTCCGTAAAATCCGTAAAAACCGTAAAATTAGCAAATTGACTGGTTTTGGCCTAATTTTTTTCTAATTTTTTCAAGTTTGGCGCTATTTCAGGTATTTTTGCAAAATTTCAATTCAATAATTTGAAAGCTATGCATTGTCACACAGTACCAAAGTTTTTGAAAAAGACCAAAAAATGCCTTTGGAAATTCGATCATCGCTCAGAAGTGGAATTTTGAGATTTTTTTGAATGAAAGTGTGACAATGCATGTTTTTCAAATTATTGAATTGAAGTTACATACCTAAATAAGCGCCGAACTTGAAAAAATAGGTTTTGCTTGCCAAAAACAGTAATTTTCCTAATTTTTAGGTTTTTACGGATTTTACGGTACTTTACGGTTATTCAATCCGTAAATTTTACGTTTTACGGATCAGTAAAAATTCTTTTTTAGGTGAGGGTCGATTTTGGGGGATTTTCAGTTGCCATGTGGCGAAAGTTCATTTTTGGGCACATTTTGGCCTAAAAATCATAAGGGCCTCAGGTTTATCTTTATCTCAAAACAATTTCTGATGTATTTTTTAACGAGAAATCTAAATTTGATGTTTAATTTTATTAAATAATGGAAGTTTTTTTCAGGACGGTCATTTTTAGGCCCAAAAAATAGCTTTTTCGAAAAAAATTGAAATTTTTCCTAGTAAGATGAACGAATATGAATATAGTGCCAATACAAAAAACGTTTAAAATAGTGCCCAAAAACCTTCTACGTTAAGATCTGATCATTATTTCACTTTTGAAAAAAAATGTTTTAGACACCCCACGACCATATTTTTGCAGGTGTGGGACAAGTCGGGACAAACTATATCTCATATACTTTAGAAGGCAATGAACATGTATGTATGAAAAATCAACTAGAAAAAACAAGTTTGAATTTTTCTGTACAGTGGGTAATATGTAGGCCTGAAGTTGAGTTCTACAGAGAACGCGTCTTAAAGAATACTAATCACTCAAGAAATCCCAAAGTTTACAGTTTTGTGTTTTTTCTAGATTCTCATTTTCGAAATTTTCAGCGATATTCCCGACACTCTTCTCCGTCGTTACGTGTACAGCTTCTACTGGTCGACTCTAATTCTGACAACAATTGGAGAGGTACCCAGTCCAGTACGCAACATTGAATACGTGTTTGTCACTTTGGATCTCATGTGCGGTGTATTGATATTCGCTACAATTGTCGGTAACGTCGGAAGGTGAGTTTTTCGGAATTTCTAGTCATATTCTTTTAAAAATTCATTTTTTCAGTATGATTTCAAATATGAGTGCAGCGCGAACAGAGTTTCAAAACAAAATGGACGGAATAAAACAGTATATGGAGTTGCGAAAAGTCAGCAAACAGCTTGAAATTCGTGTGATCAAATGGTTCGACTATCTGTGGACCAATAAACAATCGCTGAGTGATCAACAGGTTTTGAAAGTGCTTCCAGATAAGCTTCAGGCTGAAATTGCTATGCAAGTGCATTTTGAAACTTTGAGAAAAGTTAGAATTTTCCAGGTATAGCCTTTTTTGAATATAAGTTCAAAAATTCAAATTAAAAATTCTAGGATTGCGAAGCAGGACTCCTTGCTGAATTAGTGCTTCAACTGCAGCTTCAAGTGTTTTCTCCAGGAGACTTTATTTGTAAAAAAGGAGATATTGGTCGGGAGATGTACATTGTGAAGCGTGGACGTCTCCAAGTCGTTGATGATGACGGAAAGAAAGTTTTCACCGTACTCCAAGAGGGCGCCGTATTTGGAGAGCTCAGTATTCTGAATATTGCTGGAAGTAAGAACGGAAATCGGCGAACAGCCAACGTTCGTTCCGTCGGATACACGGATTTATTCGTTTTGAGCAAACAGGATTTGTGGAATGCATTGAGAGAATATCCGGATGCCAGGAAGCTACTTTTAGTCAAGGGACGAGAAATTCTGAAGAAGGATAATCTTTTGGATGATAACGCGCCGGAAGAACAAAAGACGGTTGAGGAGATTGCAGAGACGTTGAACAATGCGGTGAAAGTGTTACAGACAAGGTTAGTCTAAGATTTCCAGAAAAAAATAAGCAATGAGCGTTTTTTAGGATGGCAAGATTGATCGTGGAGCACGCAAGTACTGAAGGAAAGCTGATGAAAAGAATTGAGATGCTTGAGAAACATTTGAGTCGGTTAGTTGGAGTTTAATTTGAATTTTTTGAGATAAATTAAAAATAATAGTGGGCTAAAATCGAAAAACAGAGGAAAGATGGTTTTTAAAATTAATTTCAAAAAAATTATCTTCAGCTTTTCAATGTGTAAAGCTCTTTTATTCACACTTGGAATCTGAAGCACAAATTTTTAGATTTCAGAATTTTGTGAATTTTGAAAATCTACATTTTTTTGGAATTCCGAATCCTGAATTTTTGAGCAGTTTTTAATTTTCAGATTTCTGAATTTCTGGAGTTTTGGGATTTTTCAGACGTCTGGGTTAGTTTGTACTTTTTGAGGGTTTCCGAATTTTCGGATTTTTTGAATTTTGTGTTGAATTTTGGAATAATAGAATAATATTTGGAGGATTTCAGCTAAATATAGGTAGATTCGGAGCTCTGAAGAAGTACATAGGTAAAACCTGTAATAGAAGGGCGCCCCCACTGTCAAGTTTGAGCTCATTTATCTCAATTCTTTTGAAAGATATCAAAAACGTGTTAGCTGAAAAATATTTATCTTAATTATTTAAATTTTTGTCGGATGACATATCCTTGATATCATGCGCAGGAATTGAGAAAAAATAGTTCAAATTTATAAGGCCCTTCTATTACAGGTTCTACGGTATTTAGAATTTTCGTGTCTGTGACAAAATTAGCAAAAATGAGCACTTTGTTCACTTCTAAATATTTTTCAAAACGCAAAAATGATTTTTTCTTTCATCGAAAAATTCCGAAATCCATATTTTTGAAGTTCCTCACTTGACAACTCTCCTTGGTAGTCCCTAAAAATCGAAACTCTTACATGTTTGTTTTTAATCTTTATTCAGTGTCTTCTCTTTTCGAAAGAGAATCTTCACTACATTTTCTGTTGTTAATCCCCTACTTCGAAATCCGTGATTTGGTGCATTCAACTAGAAAAAGGAAGCAGGGAGAGAAAAAGTAGAAATTAAAAAATTGGAGAATGTTTTCCGCACCGGAGATTACATGTTTCAAAAATGAGTAATTGATTGATTAACTTGGACATGTTTTATGCAAGGGCTCGGGGTATCAGAAGTGAATTTCCCTACTGAATGACACGGACTAAAGTTTGAACTATCATAAAATATGAGTTAAGCGTTGTACTGGGCTCTAATTTAGAGTGCCGAACTTTCGATAATTCATCAGTAAACTGCCCGAGTATCAAGTTATTTGATCAACTCTGAACTGAGTTATCGCTTCTCAAAGTTGTTTCATCACATGAAAACCCCAACGACGTGCCTTTGGACAATCATAACAATACCTACAATTAAGGATTCGCCTTGAAAATTTCAGTAACTTTGAACCAAATTATATTTCTACCAATTTTTGTACTTCCAAGATACTTATGTTAAAGATATATCCCTTTTTATCAGTGCGAGTAATTTTGCGCCACCTTGTAGATTTGAAGACTCGCAAAGACTTTCAGGAGACTGTCTAAACTACAACTTTTCATTTTCAGCTACAAAGCTATTGCTCGGGGCAAACGAAACATGCACGGCGTCTCACTGGATGGTGAGGACGTTGAAACCACTGGCGAGCGACGTCACCGTGCTCCACGTCTCCGACAAACCAAAACGATAGATGTACCCACGGCCGAAGAGGACCAGGAACTACTTTCATAATCTTTTTTATTTTTTGAAAATCCCGTTTATATACTATTTGTAAACTTTGCGGGTCCTAAAACTTGAATTGTTTCGATCAAATTTTTTGGCAAATTCGCTTTTAACTCCTCTATTTTTCAATCTATTTTGCCTTGTGTTATCCCTAATGAATGTGGTATTTGTATCCTTATTCTGAAAAAAAAGAGTCATCAGGCGATAAGAAGTCCTTCAAGAGAAACTATAGGGCTTCTCGGTTTCTACGTTAATCTTTTTGGGATTCCGGGGATATATATTCTAGTATTCTCTTCTTTTTTTTTGTCCTACTTGGCAAAGTTTTCTTCTGAGAAACAAAAATGTGCTTCCAACTACAAGAATATTTGACTCCAGGCGTGGTTCACAAGTTTCGGCCATATCGGTGAGTGTCTAGAGTTTTCTAAAAATTTTCAGAATGAAACTCCGATATATTTTTCTGAAACTTTGTAATTATCATATTACTCACATCTTTGAAACTTCTAGAGTTGTTAAAACTGCCCAAAATGTTCTGTATTTTTTTTAACTTCATTTCGCCGTTTTCAGATATTTTTTAAAGTTTTATAAGTAGTAGAATGTTCTATAAACATTAATTCAACATAATTTATACAACTATCCTCAAACATTTTACCAAAACTGACTGCGTTTTTTGAACTACGATCAGTGCGACCGTACTTGTTCTAATAGAAGCCCACCCAAACCGCCAACTTTGAGCTCAATTATCTCGGTTCCTATAAGAGATATCACAAATCTGCCAATTGATAAAATATTGGGGACATTATTATAAACATTTTATCAGTTAAAAGTTTTTTGATATCCTTCACAGGAAAGGTGATAATTGAGCTCAAAGATTTTCACCTAATTAATTCCAGAAATGTGTTCATCGGAATCTCCTCTGTCGCTATATTCTTTGCAGTTCTCATCATTGCCGAGAACATTATATTCCTCTCGATTGTCAGCAAACAGTGAGATCCAAACGATTTCTTGAATTTCCACATCCTCCTTTTTTTCAGAAGCATTCCTCTTCTTATGGTCCCCTACATCCTCTCCTGGGTCCTATTTTTCCTCGGTTTTTGTTTCGCCCGTTTTGCATATCTTATCCATAACGGTCGCAAATCTTGCTCATCTGTAATTCCGTTATCCTCCCCGATTGGTTGGGAGGATAGTCGTCCAGTGTCTCCAGTACCGGTAAGAGATCATTTATTATTAAGCATGAAAGCGACAAAAAATGCGAGTGAAGGGTAACCCGTTAAAACTTGCACAGAGGTTGTGAAGCATGTATTTAATTAAAAATCGTGAAAGTTAAAGTCTCGGCAAGCTAGTGGAGATCGCTCTGTTGACGTAGACTTGAATAAGATTGGTCTGGAAATAATAATGATGAAATTTCACGTCATCTGAATATTTGTGAAGCACCACAAAAGAAGCCTCACAACATACCATTGCTTTTGGGAGCTTGGTGAAATGCGGTGCCATTCTTTGCTCGCCAACTCGATTCACCATAGCGACAAGGCAATAAACGACGGTCTTCCTGACGGATGATGACGTCGACTGGTACGCCTGGAAAATAGAGGAGTAGGTTGGGAATCCTAACTTAGGATTTTGGGGATTCTAACCTTTATGACACATGGTGTGATGTCATCAACGACATTTTTCAACTCATCCGCTGGAAGTTCTTCGAACAAACGGGTCACCATTTTGAGCACAAGGGATGCTCTCTCGTCATCAATTGGTTCTTGAATCAGTATTACTTTTGCAATATTTATGATATTCGCCAATGGAAGATGGGTCGCCAGGGTTCGGAGGCAATCATCAACGGCCAGCGCTGTCGTGGCATCATTCGTATTCACAGCTGCATCAAGCACTTTACAAACTGCCATTTCTGTAGAATCGAAAAGTTTTGCAGCTTGCGCGGTGCACATTTTTCCTAGAATCCGAAGACACATCTTCTTGTTATTCTCCGATCGGCTGGTTGAGAGAATCTCGAAAAGATTCAGAAGGAGCTTTGCGTAGCATTGCTCCCAGATTCCAAATCCGCCATCACAAATTTTCATGTACACTTGGCTGATGGCATTCTCTTGTTCGTCGGGATCCTTCGAGACGCGCATTTTGTGAAGAAGATCTTGGACGTTTTGAATCTTTTCGAGGGTGTCCGGTGGCAGGGTTACGGTGGAGTTGAGCTGCAAAGTTTCGTATGAGAAATACATAGAGTGACCTAATTTTCTCAACATGATTTTTCTAGGCCATCGTAACGGATGGCCCAGAAATGGTCTAATATGTACCCGGTGTGTTTTAGGTCAGTTAACACAGTGGCCTTATTTTCAATTTTGGTTCTCCAGGCTACCAACATTTATGGCCTAGACACGGCCTGTTGTTTACCAGGTGCGTTTTCTAGGCCAATCAAATCCTAATTTTCGCAAGTTGAGTTTTCTAGGCCCCCGTAGTAAATGACCTAGAAAGCACATCAGGTGAATATCATTCTATTACTAGGCTTTTTATCATATTGGCTAGGAAAACTCAATTTGTAAAAGTTAGGCCACCATGAATAAGGTTTCAAATTTAAAAAAAACTCACATTCATCTTCTCCATCAACCTTGATGTGGATTGTTCCTCCAATTTACTCAAAGCAGCATTTGTGGAAGTATTGAATGATCCTAAATTGATTGCAGTTCTCTTTTGAGCGCTTCCGAATTCCGGCAAGACCACAGAATCGTTTTTGTGGGGAGTCTCTCGTAGAGGAGTTGCTTTTGGGTGGTTGTTCCCACTTCCACCACTTCCGGAGCTGCAACAGAAACAAAATATGATGCGCTTTGTCGTCTCTTGGGACACTTTTTCATTTCTCATACCGAATGCATGGCCAAAAACACAAACCTTATTCCATTTTCGAGACCATTCAACTGAAGAGTTTGATGTAGCCACGCCTTCTGATCCGAATCAAATTCGGAGATCAGTGCAGAAAAATCAGCTACGTTCACACAAAACATGGAGCATATCGCTTTTTCAATGTACGGCGTCAATAGAATTGATTGTCTCTGGTCACCGATCCAGGTGAACATTTTTCGAAGAGCTGCCTTGAGTTCTTTATGATTTATTGATGCTCCCGGCTCGGTGTACTCGTCGAGAAGACTTGTCATGTACTCCAGAAGAGCTACTCTTGCCTGAAAGTCAAATTCGAAGAAATTTTAATCCTAAACAAGCTCATTATCAGGCGCAAGCGCAGCCTGCGCTAATTGGTGTGAGCTCGGAGGGAACACCAAGCCCAACGGTCGAAATTAGGCTCACCTTTGGAACCATCAAATGAATGGGATCGCACATTAATTCACATACAGTAACCAATTGGTGATGTGCATTGAAACATTCCAAGATGACATTCAGCGTGTGATTTATCTGTTTTTTGGTGTTCGGAAGAGTTTCGGTTGCTTTTCGAGCAAAAAGTTTAGCCAATGCTAGACGGAGCCATTCGGAGAGACGACTGCTGTGCGTGCGAATGAAAACCGCGTAGACTTCAAGGACCATCTGAAGAATTAGTTTCTAGATGCTCATTGAGATACTGTACCTACCGTATTTGACGCATCCGACAACAAACGATTCAGACAATTCCCAATATTCTTGATCTCGGTTGAACTCAAAGTTGTGTCTCTGAAAAAGAAAAAAAAATACTATTATTTTCTTTTCAAGTGTTCTATTTCCCAACTCACGAAACAATCGGCAACAACTTCTTGATTCCATCCTTTTTTTCGGTAACCGATGATGAGCAACATTCCTTCAGAACCCTCGATACATTATCCGCGGGACTGTCTCCCAGATTCGGCTTCTGTGGAGATCTGACTCGAATCGGGAGCAAAAATTCGTCGTCATCTGTGTTGTCAGACATTCCAAGTTTTGCGAAAAACGATCCGTTTCCATATTTGACCCTTGCTTTTTGGGTATCTGGTGGGAGAGGGGAGTGTCGTCTGGTGGGTGATGTATCCCTAGAGTCGTTGGATGTGATTGACGAAGTTCTGGTTCGGGAGCCAGGGCGGTTCGGGTAGGGGATCTTGGCTGAAAAGAATCGGTTTTTTGGATTTTCGTTATAAACTAAAGCTTACATCCAGCGGGCGATGTGTCCTGCCTAACCATCGCTTTTGTTGATAACGGTCTTGCCAACCGACTGGGTCCCGTCACTTTCAGAGCTTTTGGATCTATCGCTGATGCACTTCTTTGTGCAAGAAACTCTGAAATTCAACTTTAAAAAAAAAAATGTTTTCCCCTTAAACAACTCACTTGCACTGATATTAGAATATCCCTTTGCTCCTGCTGATAACTTTGATCGAATCGGAATTGATCCCTTATCACTGTTGATACTAGCCCATGAAGATGCTGCATCCCCTCCTCTCAGCATTTTTTGTTTCGAATTCTCGAGCTCCAAAAACAGAGCATCTGCTTCTTCAGAATGGAATTCTTCTAGTTTCGCAAACGCTCTCCTTCCAGCAGCTCTAGTCTCCGAATCCGCATCGTTGATTGCTGACTTGACAAGTTCACAAATTTGTCGAATAATTTGTTTTTTGAGTCGATCACTCCATTTTCCAATTATAATTTCTAGAAGAACTGCCAGTTGGCGTCTCTGATTTTTGTCTTTTGAAGTGGAGAACGAGGAGAGGATGGTGAAAACTTGTCTAGTTTGAATATACTGAAAATGGATTCAGACTTTTTGAACAGCCAAAAAAAAAATGTTTTGAACTCACTTCAACAATAAATTCGGTCAGCGTACTCGCTGAAGTGGCCATAATTTTAGTGCTAACTGCCACTTGACCCATTGCTGGAATCAGAATATCCTCTCCAATCGAGTGAGTCTCGATTCCATATTTACTAACAATGAAACTACATGTGATGGCTGCTTCTCGTAGAATTTGAGATCTGAGATCTTTGACTGCCAATTCGAAACATCCCAAAAGTTGGAGAATATGAGCAATCATTGTGGGTCGATCCACAAGTTTCTCTCCATTTATTATTAAACTTCGAATCGTTTTTAATTGAGTCTGACGTTTATTCCAGTCTTCTGAAGTGTTGGATAGAATCGTCTTGACATTGTCAAACTTGTTTCGAAGATCCACGGAGGATGTGATGGCCTGGAAAAACAAGAAGACTTTATTTAAGTCCTTAAGTATTTGCGGCAATTTGAGCTCAATTATCTCGGTTCGTGTCAAAGATATGAAAAATTGGTTAACTGATAAATTGTTTATTATCAATATATCATCAATCTTTACTATTAACAATCACCAAATTCTGTGTGTGAGTGTGTGTGTCCGTTTGTTCCCGTATCACCTTCCCTAACGAAGTCCAGAATGAATCAAATTTTCCCAAATTTTCACAGATTACCCGAAATAGCAACGAAATGATGCCCGAATATTTAATCTTTCGAAATTTTGTGTCTGACGTCTTCTGGAGACGTTCTTCTATTCCTACAGTGCAAATTTTTAGAAAAATATTAAAGAATTATTCACGTCATTTCCGTCTAACCGCCCAAATGTTTTTCTTATCCACGCTATTTCTGAGAGAAAGGTGATTTTCTGGAAATATTCTTTTAGTATGGGTTTTAAAGATTTGAAAGGAAGAAAAAATTCTGAAACAGTGGAAAAGAAAGAAAAAAAGAAAGAAACAGAATACGAGGGAAAATAACAGCGCCCTTTCTGATCACTCGATTTTTCAGAATTCAGAATAATTTTTAAAATTTCCGAACTTTGCATATCTTTCAAATTTTAATTTCATATCTTTCAAATTTCGGAATTTATAAATTTATGAGATCTTATTCACCGAATATGCCAAAAAATTTCAAAGTTTCAGATTTTCCAACATTTCCGGTTTTCAATTTTCTGAATGTCTAAATTTTCGAAATTTAGAGTTTTCGAATTCTGAAATCTACATTTCCGATTTTCCGAAGTTCCAAAAACTTTTCGACGAGACTGTTTTTCGAAAAGTTGAATTTCTGAATTTCTAATTTTTCAGGTTCTCAAATTCTCGATTCTAAACTATTTCGAAATTCTATAAATTTTGCGAACAGGGCCGTTTCAGGCCAGCCCCTTTAGTAAGTATGCAAAAATCTGAATTTTCCGATTCCTTAAAATCTGATATTCCAAAATTTGGGTATTTGAGACATACAGATTGAAACACTTTTCTAGATTTCAAAATTAATGTTTTCCTACATCTGATTTTTTAAAATTTACAAACCTCTGAACTTACGAGTGTCTTACTTTTTCAATTTCCGGATTTTCTTACTGCCGACTTTTCGAATTATAGGAATTCTAAATAACCAAAATATCGAATTTCGAAAATTCCTAACAGACCATGAAAAAATAGTCCCTGGAAAAATGACAAAACCTGTCTATAAGACAACGGGTACTGTAAGCGGGAGCCAGGAGGCTCAGCCCGGAGGGGCGCAAACCGACTGTTTTTCAAAATTCGAAAATTTCGAAATTCAGAATTTTCGGAGAACAGAAAGTTTAGTAAACCTGACATTTAGTTATCCAAAATTTGAAACTTCAGGAAACCGGGAGTTCACATACTCCGGATTTCAGAACATAAAAAATCTTTTTTCAGTAGTTTGGAAATTTTGGAAATTTGGGAAATTTAATATTCCTCGAAGAAAATTGATAGTATGCAAAACTTTCACAAATTTTGGTGAATTCGGAAACTCGAAAATTTTCAGATTAGAAATGCAATTGTAAGATACAGAAAGCGGAAGCCAGGAGGTTGAGCCCCCGACAGGGGGCGTAAACCGACTGGTATTTTAACAGTTGACAAATTTTCATTTCTCTCATGGGAACCGAGGTAATTGAGCTCAAAATTCACAGATTATATATTACAGCAAACGCGGTACTTTGAGCTCAATTATCGTGGTTCCTATAAGAGATAGCAACATTTTTTTTACTGATAAAATTATCCTAATATCACCAATATTTTATTAGTTCGCAACTTTTTGATATCTCTTATAGGAACCGAGATAATTTAGCGCGATGTGCATGTATAGAATAGGCTTCCATTACAGCAAATATTTTTTATGATTCATTAGTTCATTGAGATTGTTTCAGAATTTTTTTAGGATTTCCAATATTTAAAACTTAAAAAAAACTCACAATTTTGGGCACATCCTCAAAAACTTTCGTGAAATCTGATTTGCTCAACAAATAGCCACCGGATTTTGGTTGAATTCGACTGGTCATTACATGTAATTTCTTTGAGAGGTGTTGGCCTGAAAATTATTGAAATAATAAATTTCGAAAAAAAGATCCGAAAAATATTGTCGAGAATTGATTAGAATTCAAGATTAGAGTGAATGGTAAGCATTAAAAATTGTTAATATTTAAAAATAGGTCCTGCTGAAAATAAAACATAGTGAAGTTTAGAGTTAAAACATTAACTAACGAACGGATTATTAAGAATTTCAAAGGTAACCTTTTCACCTGTCTTCTCTCACTGCCTAATTCTCTACAGGAGGTAGTACTCTCTAAAAAGGTACTAACTAACAAACATGTAACATACAAAGACGGGTATACAAGGAAGGAGTATGCATCTGCCATGCCATAGGACCGTTAGGACAACTGAGAGGATGACGATTACATCCAAATCTACGGACCGCAGTGCTAATGACTGTGTATGGATTGGGATGGGATGGGAGAAGATGAGTGTATTGATTCCTAGACAAGATGATTAGGGGGTTTAGACGTTGATAGGATTTATATAAGTCTTATAAAAGTCCTTTTGAATACTGTAGATTGGAAAATGTTCCAAAAATGTAAAAGAAGAGGCATCCAGGTTTTTGGATGTCTTATAGTTAGCTTCAGCATCAGACGAAAATCCCCATCCCTAATTGTGGGAGGGTCGAAGTTGATCGTCAAAAAAAAGAACCCGGCGTTGCGCAAGTGTTTAGGTTAGCAAAGAAAAAAAGGGGGAATAGGGGTCACCAACCATTTGGCCCCTTCGTCCATCTCCACCAACACCACCCCGAGCAGCTGTGTCTCTCTCTTTTTTTTTCCTCCCTCTTCCGAATGTGGTGAAGAAGAAGAGAAAGAGATGCAAGAGATACCACGGAAGATGTCGTCCTTCTAACGGACGTCATGTCATAGCCAAGCGGAGAGAGAGAGAGAGAGAGAGAGAGAGAGAGAGAGAGAGAGATTCCGTCGTTGTCGTCGCTTCAATTTACCAGACCGACACAGATGTCTGTGTTGGTTTTAAAAACAGATGTACAAAGTATCTTTTTTGGATATGTTTCTGTGCTGTGTGCGCAGGAAGAGGATTCAGCAAATTTTGGAGACTGAATCATCAAATGGGCTTCAAAGGGTACGCCGACTTTAATAGTGGAGAATCACGGAATAGGGTCGTTTTCGATAAGCTCACTTTCGTAGATCAGACCAAGACTGATGCCGTCTATTTTTGATCTACTCAGTAGTTTCAAGACTGAGAATCTGGAGAGAGAGAGAGAGAGAGAGAGAGAGAGAAAGAAAAATAGAAAGATAAGTGATAATTTTTAACTATGCCAGATTTGAATTTTTCCAAGCTATATCCCAAGCTCAAAACTGACCAATTTCGAAAGTATCGAATTTTGGCAAAACATTCAGAAATTTGACCCATCTCAAACTATGAAAAATTTCCTAAAATTTCCGTAAAATCTGCATTAGAAGGGTCCCCTACACTGTCCACTTTGAGCTCAATTATCTCGGCACATTTAACAGCTATCTAAGTTTTGTAAACTGATAAAATGTTTGTGATATTGTGCTATACAATTAATCAGTTGACCACTTCTTGATATCTTTGACAGAAGCCTAGATAAATTGGCTCAAAGTTCAAAGTTAGTTGGCCCTTGCATACAGGTTTTACGGCATTTCGATTTTAGGACAGTGTCAAAAAAATTCACTACAAATTGACTACTAAACGGAAAAAGAATGCAATATTTGAAATCGAATGAAATTTGATCCCCCTCTCTCGTTTTTTTTTTCTCTATAGCGTATTAAAAAAGCGAGTGAGACAAATTACACTCCCCTCCACTTTTCCTCTTTTTTTCAAAGAGTGTGAGTACAAACATCAGAGATATTTATGCATAAATATATAAACATGGAAAGGCTCTTCTTCTTCTTCTTCTTTTTCTCCAACCAAAAAAAATAAGTAGAAGAAGAAGAAAAAGGAAAAAAAACGAAGCGTCTTCTCTCCTTTTTCTTCTTCTGGAGCCCTCCTCGGAGCATCGTCCCTCCCAATTGATTCGTCGTTTCGCGCCCTCCGACCAGCGAGACAAGACAAAAAAAGGGTAAATGGAATTTGAAATTGGAAAATGGGAAAGAGAACTGGAAGAGTGAAATGAAGAAGAAAAAGAGAGGAGAATTGAAAAAAGTTGACTTCTGCAGGAGGAAGGCAAACAATTGGGAGAAAAGTATACAAAGTTTGGTTACATCGGGAGTGTCTAAATTGGGTTATAGGGTGAATTCATGAAGGGAAAATTTATGGAAATTATGAGAATTCGAAATGACATGTTTGGATTTATCTGAAGTCGCTTTGCATATGAATTGAGGTCAAAGTGACTAGTGAATAGGAACTTCTTGGACCTTAATTGAGATGTATTTTCCTAATTCTATGGTTTTCAGTCCTCTCCAATGACCGATGTCACAATGGTGATTCCACCAATAGTCTACAGAAACTCGCTGACCGTACCACCGACCAGTCCCTTCTTTATCAGTGATAATGGAATGAGGTATGTTTGGAAAATGATCACTTTGTTAGGTTCGATACCATACTTTTACCGTAAGACTTGTATTAGAAGGGCTCCTACACTGTCAAGTTTGAGCCAATTTTTCTCGGATTCTGTCAAAGGTATCAAAAAGTTGACAACTGATAAAACTTTGCTGATTTATGATAAATAATTCATTAGTTGACAAATTTTAGGTGTCTTTGACGGAAATCACGATAATTCAGCTCAAACTTGACAGTGTGGGAACCCTTTATGTATTAAAGGTTCTACTTGTTCTGACTTAATTGAATTTTTACAAAAAAAAATTCCTTGGTACTAATATAGTTTTATTGCCGATAGGTTTTTAGCAATTTTCAGCTTGCTAGGACAATTTTGTTCTACTCACGGTCGCCAAAAGTTAACTACCGTAACTTTTCTATTTTTTTTTTAATATCAGCCTTTCTCTTTGAGCTCAATTATCTCGGTTTTTAAGAGATATTGAAATTTAGTCAACGAATAAAATGCAGCTGATATTATGATCAATATTTTATCAATTGATCATTTTTTAATATCTTTTATAGGAACTGAGATAATTGGGGTCAGTGTTCAAATGTAGGGTGGGCATCTATCAGAGCATGTGGCACCTAACTTTTGGCGACCAAAAAAATAGGTCAAAGTGGTCCCATGAAACTTGTAACAATGTTTTTTTGACATATGTTTTTGTACAAAAAAATTCCCAAAAATTTGCATTTCATTGACCCTTTTCCAGCTCCTACCGCGATGAGCCGCCATCCTACAGTGACATTGTGAGCCGTGGTGTTTCTCCAGTCCCATGCCAACCTAAAATTGCACTTCCTGAAGTCTAAACTCATCTAATTTTACATTTCATTTTATTTACAAACATATTTATTTTTCTTTTCATGTTCTTTTTTGCATATTATTTGGTAAAATTTCTCCACCACCAAAACTAAAGTGGCGCAACAACAAAGTGAGAATTCAATTAAAAAATGAAAGAGAGAGAGAGAGAGAGAGAGAGAGAGAGAGAGAGAGAGAGAGAGAGAGAGGGAGAGAGAGAGAAGAGCAACAACGGACGGCTTTAAAAGAACAAAAAGCTTGAAGATCATTCGGTTACTCATGAAAGACGTTTGGCACGGGAAAATGGAATTGGAGAGATAGGAAGAGAATTCATTGAGTGACCACTGGCGGTCTCCGCTCGATTTTGCACACTCCGTTGACCGAACGCATTGAGACAGGACACGTGGATTCTGCAATTGCACGCTAAATGAGGTCACGACTTCACAAAGAACAGAACACTTACGACAACGTTTGATGATTTTTCGGTTGACTTCCATTTCCAGAAGCACTTGATTTGGAGGGCATGGCAGGGTGCTCTTCATTGGTTTCACATTTTTCACTGGTTTATTTTTCTGAATCGGTTGCGGTTTTTGACGCCTTCTTCCCGGATGCATGTATTGGGAAGCCATTTGAACAGCAGCTGATGCTATAGAATGAGCCATTCGGAAAGTTTCAGGCCTTTTTGATGTTTTTTCTTTGACCTGAAATTCGAAGGCATCGTTATTTCTAATACAGTAATCTTGCTTCCTTTGAGAAAAATTAAAACATTTTAAATTTAAAAAAATATTCTGGAGTAGAATATAACCTTATCTTCATATTGTGGTACCGTAAATGTTTAAATAGAAGCCCACACAAACCGTCAACTTTGAGCTCAATTATCTCGTTTTTTGTGAAAGATATCAACAATCTGTCAACGGATGAAATATAATATTGGTTATTTTATGATGAACATTTTATTATACTGTAGTTGACCGTTTTTTGATATCTTTTAAAGAAACCGAGATAATTAAGCTCAAAGTCAAAGTTAGGTTATACGACTTGGAAGTATTGGCGATATTTCAAATATTCTTTGACATAATTTTAAAGGCAATATGTAGTTTCCCAAATCTCCTGATCTACAGTCACCTGTATAATATATGTCTGCATATTCAATGGTTGTCTCTTTTTGCAACAATGCGTCTGCTTGGTTTTTGGTGACCTTCTACAGAAGTATCCAGGGGACATGTCGTGTATCTGGTACATATCACAGGTGCCTTGGTAGCAGGGAACAACAAGGCTTCCCCTCCATCACATACTTCCTTCATCACTGAAAACAAAGAGATTTTGCTTTTCGTATTATCCAACTAACCATAAGTCCTCATCACCATCTTATTCGCTGCACAACAGAAATAGTTCTTCGCTTGTGGACTCCAGGTACATGAAAATCCAACTGGGCATGGTTGTCCACTGATACACTGTCTAGCGATTCCATTAGACAGGTACGGTTGTCTTGGTGCAGGACAAATACCCTCGTTCATAATTTCAGCATGGCCTGGTTGTGGGGCCCAAGATGTAGTAGTGGGTGCTGAAGAGGAGGACATTGGTGGTTGGATCTGTTTCATGGAATGAGGAGATCCGGTGGCAAATTTGTTGACGTTCAAAGGAGTGTTCACTCTGTTAGCCAGCTTCTTCTCACATCTATGACCCTTTCGGACGCTAGTATCGTCACAATCACAAACTCCATCAATACACTGTCCCATTCCTTGACACTGTGCAGAATGGACACAACTTCTTCCAAGGGACACCAGTGGGAAACATTCGTCTTCGACCTTGACTTGTTTTTCAGAGCACTCTGGAAATATTGGAATTGGTTTTAAGCTGTCGGTCGGCTGGGTTAGCGGCCGGTCGGTCGGGTATTTTCAAAAAAAAAGGAAGACTGAGTTCGATTCTACTCACTTAATTCCTTCTCGATGACTCCATCAATACATTGTTGCTTCTGCTCAATAGTTCCAGTTGGGCAGCTACATTTCATGGCAATACAATGAGATCCACCAACACACTGTGGAGTTTCTTCACACTGCTCTCCGATCAAAACTCTATTCATACAGACTCCGTTGACGGGCACTTGAGATGCTTCGCAGGCTGAAATTTCATTTTTTCTAGACCGTAAGTTCCAAAAGAAACTCACTTTCTCCTCCGGCACAACATAATTCGGACCCACTCTTTCCGCGGACACACGAGAATCCATCAGGACAGGCAGTTCCTCCATTCATCGAACATGCTTGAGCTTCTCCGGTGATTCCAATGAAGGCTACCATTTGAACTGGGCAGTCACTTGGCATTCCACAACATTGGAATTGTTTGTTTTGATTGGAGAATTGACAGAAATATCCAGCAGGACAAGAGAGACTGGCGGATGTGCAGATTTTTGGTTTTTTGGTGTCTGGATCAGTGTAGGCGATTTGACGAGTTGGGCAGCCATCATCTGGAACAGAATAGTATTTTTCAAATCTTCAATCTTCGTACTCACTTTCCATTGGAGTCGGCAGTGGATCACTTCCACAACACTGATATCTTTGTGTTCGAATCGACCATTGACATGAAAAAGTGCCAGGACATCCTTGATTATCTGGATTGAATGGGTCACAGGCCACGACTTCATTCCTCTCCATGTATACAATTTCTCCAGGTGGACAGCCATCAGAAGCAGTTAACTGAGGTTGACCCTTGCAACAGTATCCCATGGATCCATCAAACTGAGCCATACAAACAAAACCAGCTGGACAGGTGACAAAGTGTCCGATTGTGCAAGACCTTGGCATTCCAGAAGTCTCATCGATGAAGTATTCTTCACGATGGGGGCAAATCTCGGAAACTGAGCAACAGTATCCTTGAAGGGCGTCTTTGAGGTCACTAAGACACTCGAATCCATCTGGACATGAAGATGTGGCAGCGTGCATTGTGCATCTGGTAGGTTGAAGACTGGTTTGGTCCTTATATGGAGCTCGTCCCACCGGACAGTAGTCTAGAAACAGTGATTTTTGAAGGATGGAAAACAATTTAGACTTACTAGCTTTGGTTTTAGAACCACAACAGAAGTAGCGATTTTTGACGGCATTGAATCTGCACAAATAGTCCTTGGGACACGAGTTATGTTCATTGATGAGACATTCTCTGACTGTCCCATCCATTGAATTAATGTAAGCCTTCTCATTATCAGGACACACTCCCATATCAGTAGCTCCGCAGCACACACTTTGATCCGTCAAACTGTCATAAATACAACTGAAACTCTTCGGACAATTGTTCTGGAGCTCGTCGTTGCAGGAAATTGGGAGAGCTGTATTTGGATTCAGATAGACAACGTCTCCAGCGTTACAAGCAGATGCCATACAGAAGTTGTTACATTGGTTGAGAGAGGCAAAGTTGTTGGGATTTCCATCACAGCCATTGTAGACAAATGGAGAGCATTTACGGGTGACAATGTTGAAATAGTATCTGGTGACTACGGTAAGACCACCCGAGCATAGGGATGAACCTTGTTGAGGAGGCAAGCCGCAGATGTACGCTGGAATTCGAGATTACTGCTTTCCAAATTGCAGGCAATAAAACTCACTTTTGGTTGGACAACATCTATAGGACATCATATCGGGACCCAAGCTCACTCCGTAACATTCATGAGACGACGGACACCCTCCATCCCTTTCAGAACATGACTGAAGTGCTCCATTAGAATCTCTCAATGGACTTCCCCCATTTGCACATCCACCAACTCCACAGTAGTTTTCACATTCTGCTCTACTAGCAAAAGTATTCGAATTTCCATCACAACCAAGATATTCAAATGACTCGCATTCTTGAGATTGTGGATTGTAATGATATTTGAATGAGACTCCTGGTCCACAAGTTTTTCCAGGACTAGGTGAGAGGGAGCAAGTGAAGGCTTTCGTTGGACAACATCCATGCATATTTCCATCGAAATAACACTCGAAATTTGCTGGACAAGATGAAGACTGGCGGTTCGTGGTGCAAGTTACGAACTTTCCTTGGTTGTCTTTATAGGCTTGTCCTTGTGGACAACGGGGTTCGGCTGAAATGAATTTGAAATAGAGAAAAGATAGAATGATCACTTACGAGCAGCATTTCTACAGAACGTCTGACAGTCTACCAGTGTCTCAAAGTTATTGTCATTTCCTTGACATCCAGTATATTCGAAAGATTGGCATTCTCTTGTTGCAGCGGAATACCAATACCTCCGTACTGATCGGTCGCAGTTTCCAACTCGAAGAGGTTGGGTACAAATCGTTTCTGAAAAAGGAAGGTTCTGGAAAAAAAAACTTGGGCGTCGCCGGCAATTTTTGGTGGGAGGCTTGTCAGATTCCGGATAAGGCCGCTACTAAAGCCGCCAAATTTCGACCAAGTTATGACAAGGTTCCGGCCCTGTATTATTTCAACCTTCATCTTCCGACCAAAACCTTACCGTGGCCCGCTATAGAGCCGTTTTTGGGCAAGTTACGACCGGAAAAAGAATATCAGTTCAAAAGCCGACCCCTTGAACTTCTGATTAGAAATTACAAGCTGACGGCCGAAAAAAATTATAGAAATAGAAAACGTACGCATTCTGGGGCAACACACAGCTTGATCCATTTTACACTCGTGGGATGATGGACAATCGTTGTTGGAGGCACAAGATTGGGTGACATCACCAATTCTCAAAGGATTTCCACGATCACATTGTACTGAAAAAAAACCATCATGTCAGGTTTTCCATTCTTAAACTCACATCTAGCACAATAAAGCTCGCAATCGATTCTGGACAAAAAGTTATTGTAATTTCCACCGGCTCCAAGGTAAGTGAACGGACTACACTTTCCAGATTGTGGATCGTAAAAGAATCTAGTCGCCGTGGCGGTTCCTTGTTTCTCAACTCCTGCATGATAAACGACACCACGAGTGTTGACAGATGGATCCAGAGGACGACCACCAACGGGTCCACAAACAGAAGCGACGGATGGACAACACCATTGGGTACTTCCAACGGATTTACACTCATAGTTATGGGAGCAAGAGCTGGTTTGAGCACATCCGGAGACTGGAGTCTGTTCCAGGAAGGAGGTACGATGAATGTATTCTGGAGCACCTCGGGAGCAAGCTGAAGATGAAAAGAACTATATTTTCGTTTTCTCCAACAACTCACTATCTCTACAGAAGCTTTCACAATGCTCAACAGTTCTGAAATTGTTTGGCGAGTGCTCTCCAGGACCCGATGCAGTTGGATCCCATAAAAATTGTTGACACATTCCAGTAATCGAGTTGTACCACCAACGGGGTTCAGTTGGATTCGGACCAGTGGCAGTGGGTTGTACACAGGTGAAAGCTCGGTTCGGACAACAGATTCCGTTGGCTTTTTCGCTGTATCCAGAAGACGTCAAATCTAAACTGGAGACGAATTCAACGCAGTCATACTGGTCAGCGATGTATTGACCGTTGGAAGGGAATAAGCAAGCGGAGTTACCGTCGCCAGTCTGGAACATTGACATAGGAAAGTTTTGACTAAAAATCAGAAAGCTCACATTATCCTCTGCCTGAGTTGTTTGTGTACTATCAGTATTACATAGAACTGGTCCCGGTCCCTCATTCTGCCTTGGATGCTTTGGATCGGATAACGCTGATGTGTATCCAGCTCCTTCTGGTAATGGACAAGTGATAGCCAACGTGTTATGATTTGCATCAAGAACGTCCAGACAAACATGTCCATCTCTTGTAGCTCGTTCCACTTTATTCTCTCCACAACGACAAGTTCCAACTCCTGCAGAAGTATCACAGAAGGCGTCAGGCCACACTGAAGCACACTGCTCGTTGTAGACACATCCAGGCTGTCCTGGATCAATCTTCTGGTAGCAGTAGCCTTCGGCAGCGATGTAGGTGGTGAGGCAAGAGCAGAGTCCTCCGTTGCAAAACATTCCCTGTGCAATTTAAATGTATTAGGAGCGGAAAAAAGGCTAGAACTCACAGCTAGGCAGTCTGTGTTGAAGGCGCATGCATCACCGACTCTACCACTTCCAGTTTGTCGTTTGTCACGAAGATTGTCGACTTGTGCTGAAATGAAAATCCTAGGTTTTTAAACTGTTTTTTTCAGTGTGTTCATTTTTGAAATTCTGGTATGATAAAGCTGTAATAGAATGACCCAAGCCATCAAATTTGACCCAGTTTATCTCGGTTCTTTTAAAAGATATCAAAAATTGGTCAACTGGTAAAATATTGGTGATATTATGATAAACATTTTATCAATTGAAAAGTTTTTGATATCTTTTACAGAAATCGAATAAATGGGCTCAAAGTTAAAATTCAGGAGTGGCGTTCTATTGTAGTGTTCATGGTATCTGAACAAGAATAGTTTAGAAGAGTCGATAGTTTTTTTCGAAGTTTAAGATGACCCGCATTGCAAAACAAGAATTTAGACAACATCAATTTTTGCATTTTTTGGTGTTCGAAACTCTAAAAATTTGAAAAAGAGCAAAAGATTTGAGTCAGTATGTCTACATATATTCCTGTTCAAGATATTGAAAAATGGTCAACTAACAAAATATGGTGGATATTATAATAAACCAGCCTGTTTGCCGCCTCTCCGTCGTTTCAAACAGCTGGCTGGTGCACCTTTGGCGCGATATAACCTATTTTTGGTTCCCTCACTCTTTTTTAAAAGGTCACGTCAATCTATTTTCAATTTTTAATTTTCAAACATTTCAAAAGTTTTCATCAATTCACGTTACGCAATAAAACCAATTTTAGGTCACGCCCCTACCTGGGCCCACGTCGAAAAAATTCCACATATTGAAAAAAATAGTCCTTCGGGAAATCCCACTCTTTGAATTAGTTTGATAATTTTCACTAGCACTTCTTAACTGCTCAGAAGCTCCCTGCGTAAGCTGTTTATTGTTTCATTTACTTTTTTCTTTCGATTGGTCGGATGCGAACAAAGTACTAAAAGGCCCTCAGGGTCGCCATGTTTGGTGGTTCATGGCTAGGTGAATTCATTTTCACTGAACGTTTCCCCTTTTGCAAAAGGCTCAATCAAAGAAAAAAGAAACAAATGAACAAAAACAATAAATAGCGATTGCACTTGGGTTCAAGCGAGGGAGTCAGAAAAAGCGCCCCAGCAAACTCGTAGGCCAGAAGAAATTTAATAATTTTAAAATGAACGCAGGTTTGAACTAGATCATGATCTATTTCTTAAAAATCAACGGGTTGCAACGCGCGTATTCTCGCTCATCGTTTAAAACTGTGATACTCAGCCAACGAAGTTCGGCAGCGAATTAAGAATTTTTGAAAAATTTACTGGGGCGCGCTTTCTGACCCCCTCGCATAGCTTTTTAGCAGTGGAAAGGAACTATTGAAAATTAAAAAACTTTCTCTTCGGAGACAGGGGTTTTGTGTTGGTGTTTTCCCCCAGTGAAAACCCATTTTCCCTTTCATGTACTGAGCCTCTACGTGGCGAGAGGGATCAACAGACGAAAGTCTGGCTGATCAGTACACTACACGCTCTCCCACAGAACATTTCCAAACTGCGAATTAATTTTTGATCTACAGAAAAAAGTTTGGCGCGATCACAATTGCAGGTCTAAAACCATAATTTCAGAATTTTTTATCTGATTTTGTGGAGTTCCAAGATGATTCAAATGATTCTTAAAAAATTAATTAGTAGTTATAGATTCATGTATGGTCGTTTTCCAAAAAAAAAATTGTCAAAAATGGTCATTTTTGAAAGTTTTTCACAGAAAAAATCTATCTCCTCTTTCAGTGTTTGACATTTCTAGGAGTTCTATAGCTCAAAAAAACCGCAATTATTTTTTCTACATTTTCTATGGATGAATTTTTAATTTGTCTGATAAAACTTTTTTATAATTCAAAAACCTCATGAAATTGCACGAAATAGCATTTTTGCGTTGTTTTTTGATTATAAAAAAAGTTTTATCAGACGAATTAAAAATTTGTCCATAGAAAATGTAGAGAAAATAATTGCGGTTTTTTTGAGCTACCTACGAAAGAGCTTTTTTTTGAGCTCAAAACTAATCAACTAAGAAAATATTTGTGATACTATAATAAAAATTTTATCAGTTCACTACCTTTTTTATATCTCTTTCATGAACCTAGCTAAATTCGCTGAAAGTTACAAGTCAAGATATCTTCCTGTTACAGGTGTTATGGTAGTTTTAATTCCTAAAAAGGACTGGAATAAATATAACTATTAATTAGTCAAACATTACAAGAAACAGCTTCTAGAACAATACAATTTACTATGGTAACACAGTACCTACGAAACTACCATACATGACTAACTGCCATGTGGCGTGTTGAGAACATTGAATCAAAATAATTACGGTCAAACAAACCTGCACACAGAGTGAGCAATAATAAAAGAAGAAAAATTAGAAGATGGTCTTGTAGGACCATTCTGTAATATTGAAAAAGGAAGAGAAGGGAATAACTATTGGGAAGGAATCATAAATAGAATTGGAAGGGGTTGTACAGTAGAAAGTCGGAGCAGCACTAAAATTCGGTACACTGTGTGCTCGTGCTGCTTGCTTCGATGTCAAAATGAGTTCGTGGTGGTGGACAGAATAAGATAAATGATTGGGTTGGGGGATTCCGAAGGTCACTACTTTTCCTTCAACGTGTCAAAAACGGGCGCAAACAAGAGACGGGGTGCGGGGACGGAGGGATGGAATACTGTAAATAGGTAATCACAGAGAGAAGAATGAAGACAGTGGTCACGAAGTGGACATTACGAAAGAAAAGAGTTTGGATATCTGAGGGAATGGACATGAAAAAAAATTGGATATAGAAAAATTACAGAAGGTTACGTCGTCTTATTCTTCAACTCATAACAGACACCTCCAATTGGAATTTGTGGGAATGGACAACTTCGTTCTGAAAAAAAAGAGTAATTTAGAAGGTTCTAGAATTTCAGATAGAGAATTTGGAAGAATCCCCGAAGTTTGCCCAAAAAGTCAGTTTTTAACAATGTCCCTTCAATAGACCAGCGTTATCACTTTGACTTTTTTGAGTTACTTTACCTCGTTTTGAGACATTTTATCTCGTTTCCTGTAGAAGATATCAAAAAGTAGTTAACTAACAAAATTTTTTTTATTATGACAAAAAATTTATCAGTTGACAACTTTTCGATATCTTCAATAGAAATCGGGATAATTGAGCTCAAAGTTGACGGTCTATTGCACCTTATATCTCTCTCACTTCCACTTTGAGCCACTTTATCTCGTGTTCTGTGGAAGATATCAAAAAGTGGTCAACTGATAAATTCGTTATCATAGTTTGGTGTCTCTCCCGGCAACCGAGATATATGGGCTCAAGATTGGCGGTTTTGATGGACATCTGTTAGAGCCAATACGGTATTTGAGGTCAAAGTTATAATGCAGGCAATCAAAGTAATAGTATCAAAAAAAAACTTTTCAGTGAAAAATGTGCAGTTTACTTAAAAACTTGGCTGAAAATTGTCGTTTTGCAAAAACGCATTTCGATTTTTCCCTTTTTCTGATTTTTCAGCTGCCTATTCTCAGATTTTGCAAACTCACCACATCGCTTTTCAATCCTTCCATTCACCACCCTCGTCACCAGAACCATATATCCTTCACATGGATTAATTGCCGCTGGTGGACCCCTACTGTAATAAGTTCCCAATCCAAACGATTCGCTGCTAAATCCGGGACGATCCGAGTGTCTTGACGGACAGCAAATATGATTGTTCGATGTCGAACTCTGCACACAACCAAAACCAACTGGACATCCACGTTTTCCGGGTTGACAGAGGACAGGAGAACTTGTAGATGGATAGATTAGAGGGTTTCCTCGAGGACACTTTTCTTGGTCTGGGGAAGGAGTTGCTGGAAATTAAATAGTTCAGAAAAAATATTCTACAAATTGTTATCAATTACATTTAGATACAACGGCTCCAGAAGTGGTTCCAGCTACAGTAAGACCTGCTTTATTGGCAATAGAGCAACAGTGATATCCATTATTACGGTAGGTGCATTCGTAGCCAGCAGGGCATCGAGAAATTGTGCATTTCTGTGGAGCACCGTTGAGCAGGTATGGTGTACGACCAGTGGGACAAACTTTAGAGTTTGCCTTCTTGGTAGTCAGAATTCTCTCAGTTGTTGTAGATGGTGGGGGAAGGGATGGTACTGTAGACGATACTGACATATCCGGAGCGCAGCACAAGTACTGAGTTCGTCTGTTATTGATCTGACACTCATAACCAGTTGGACATCCTTTTCCGATAGGAGAACAATGTTTAGGTCTTTCGTGCTCTTCGTCAATCAGTGGATTCCAGCCAGGCTTGGAACAGGTGATTCCTCCGGCTACTGAAAAATCAAAATTGATATCATTATTGTAACTTACAGTACCGGCAATGAAGGATAAATTTTTGGTCATTTTGACCATTTTCAAGAGCCTGGAGCTTGGCTGCCAAGTTTTCAATCAGTTTGAAAACTTCAGAGAGTGTAAAACAGACCAAGATTGAAAACTTTGCATTCACATATTTTTTTGGAAATTCCTAGTTTTTCAGATTTTTGCCGATTTCTGCAAGGTGTCTTTCAGAAACCAGCAACTAACTGAAAAATAAGAATGTTATTAAAAACTTTGTGAACACAAAGTTTTCAATCTAGGTCTGTTTAAAACTCTCCAAATTTTTCAAAAAGATCGGAAACTTGACAGCCAAGCTCCACGCTTCTGAAAATGGTCAAAATGGCCGAAAATCAACTGACACATACATTGTTGCATATCTCATTGACCTCTACCAATCACTTACACTTCGACGAAGTCACTCCAACCATTTTCTTCTCAATCGGAGTCATACACTTTCCAGCCTTCTCAATGAACCCTTTTTTACATTCACATGATCCTTCAATGCATCCAGCGTTGTCCTGACACTGACGGACTGTGAGACAGGCCTCTCCGAGTTTCGCCTTGTTGTGACACAGCCCATTGTGAAGGACTTGATTGTGGGAGCATTCTAAACAATGGATGTTACTATTTTAACCTACAAAACTCTGGAAAAAGGTACATACGAATTTCCTCTTGACAGAATCCTCCGACTGCTTTCAATGGAGGTCGACACTCGCATTTGGCATCTTCACAAAGGGATCCTCCAGTACATTGCTCATTTGCGAGACACTCACTTCCTGGTCCCACTTGGGCGTGGCACTCTCCTTCGATGATCACTTCATTCGGCTCACAAGCCACTTTCCGGACTGTACAGCACACATGATGTCCTGCTGTAGACTTCTGACAAGCGAATCCTCGTGGACAATTCGACTGACCAACTACACACTTCTCTGGTTCTCCGGACATTCCAACAAATGCAACTGATTCATCTGGACATCCTCCACTGACTCCACAACATTGGAATTGATTATTGGAACTAGAGAATTGGCAGAAATAACCAGCTGGGCAATTGGCAGCACCTGCACTACAAACTCTTACAGTGTCAGCATCACGGAAGGCGATTTGAGCATTCGGACATCCATCGGAAGGTCTTACTGGGATTGGAGCAGGGTTGGATCCACAGCATTGATAACGTTGATTAGACAGGGACCATTGACATGTGAATTCAGATGGACAGGGAGCATTTGGAGGATTGAATGGATCACATTGAGCGATTTCTCCGTGCACCAAATAAACGTATTGGTTGGGTGGACATCCATCAGTGACCGATGGTGGGAGAGTTCCAGTTCCTGATTTACAGCAGAATCCGTCGGAAGAGGAGGTCAGGGATCTACAGGCATAGCCGTTGGGACACGAAACAAATGTTCCTTGGGTGCAGGCTCTTGGTTGTTGAGATTGGTCATCGATCAGGTAATCAGCGTTGTCTGGGCAGACGGAGTTGGCAGTGCAACAGAATCCTTGGAAGGCGTTGGCAAGGTAGCTTTGGCAAGCATAACCATCTGGACATTGGTCATTGCGGCCGATGGTACATCTGATGGGTTGAGCAGTGCGTTGATCTTTGTAGAGGAATTTTCCAAGTGGGCAGGTCTCTGGAGCAAATTTTAATTACTTGAGATACTCAGAAAATTTCGAAAATTTATCAACTCACTTCCAGTAATACTTGAACAGCAGTAGTATTTGTTCTTCTGCATATTGAATCGACATAAGTAATTCGCTGGACAAGACTGCTCAATATTGATCAAACATTCTCTTGGTGACATGTCAATCGTATCGATAAACGCCTTCTCTGCTTCAGGACACACTCCAGAATCCGTAGCCCCACAGCACACATGATTGTTGATAAGAGGATTAAAAGTACATGAATATCCAGATGGACAACTATTGCTTAGCGCCTCGTTACAATTGATTGGCATCTGAGAGTTCGGGTCCACATAAGCCACATTTCCAGCTGGACAGGAGTTACTCATACAGAAGTTTCGGCACTGTTGAACGTTCAAAAAGTTATTGGCATTTCCATCGCATCCTCCGAATTGGAATGATGTGCATTGGCTAGTGACAATGTTGAAGTAATATCTTTGCACGAAGTTGGCTCCGCATTGAGTTCCTTGTTGGGGTGGAAGACCACACATGTAGGCACGTGTTGGGCAGCATCTGTTGATCATTGAATTTCCAACTAGAACTGGGACACATTCATGAGAATCTGGACAGGATGTTTGTTGCGCTCCACACACCATAACCATTCCGGAGTGATCTCTCAATGGAGTTCCTCCGTTTGGACATCCTCCCACACTACAGTAAGATTCACAGGCATCTCGATTAGCAAAGTTATTAGAATTTCCATCGCATCCGTTGTACTGGAAGGACTCGCAGTTTTGAGTTTGAGGATTGTAGTAATATTTGAAAGTGCTTCCAGCTCCACATTGGATTCCTGGATCCGTGTTGAGGGAGCAAGTAAAGGCTTTTGTTGGGCAGCATCCCCACTGGGATCCGTCGAAATAGCATTCGTAGTTGGCAGGGCAGCCCATACCGTTTGAGCAGGTTACAAAGTTTCCGAACATGTCTTTGTAGGCTTGACCTTGGATGCATTTTGGTTCGGCTGGAAAAAATTGGTTTTGGGATGATCAAAGGCATTGGGAGGGGAAAAACAGGTATAGCGAGATCAAAAGATTTTAAGTTTGCTGCCAAAATCTCATTTTAGAATTGTATTGAGACAAGCTATTTCATTCGAAATTTTAGCTACCAGGCAACTACCATATTTAAAAGAAGCTCACTCAATACGTGCATGTTGAGCTCAATTATCTCAGTTCCTATCAAAGATATCAAAAAACTCTCAATTGATAAATTGTTTGTCATAACACCAGCAATAGTTTATCAGTTGACAGATTTCTAATGTCTCTCATCGGGTGGGCTCCTATCAGAGCAATAACGGTAGCTTGTTTCGGTTGAAACGTTCCAAAAAATATTTGTAAAACTCACGAATAGCATTTTTACAGAAGTTCTGGCAATCCAAGATCGAGTCGAAATTGTTATCGTTTCCTTGGCAACCTGAAATCTCATGTTTCTCAATCATTTTGACCTATCCAACTTACCTGTGTACTCAAACATCTGGCACTGTCTCGTCTTCGCGTTATACCAATATCTCTTCACATTTTCTGTACAATCTCCGATTCTGAGTGGCTGAGCGCAGATTGTTTCTAAATTTAAAACTTATAAACATAATCCAAATTTTCACAATTTTACGTTTTCTAGGACAACAAACTCCTTGATCGGCTTTGCATTCGTGAGAGGACGGGCATTGGGCGTTGTTCTGACAGCGTTGAGCTTCTTCTCCGATTCTCAATGGGGATCCTCTTTCGCATTGTACTAAAAAAATAACCTTTCCAAAAATTTCCATCTCCAGATCACTTACATCTTGCACAATACATTTCACACTCGTGCTTTGACAAAAAGTTATTGTAATTTCCACCGGCTCCCTTGTATACAAAATCTTGACATCTTCCGGTACCAGGATCATAGTAGAATCTGATGGATTCTTTTCCAGTGTACACCATAAATCCAGAATGATAAACTGAGTTTCTTGGTTGGATATCAAATGGACGTCCTCCTTTAGCTGAGCACACAGATCCAGGAGTTGGACAACATAGATGTTGACTTCCGATGGCTGTGCATTGGAAATCATTAGCGCAGGAAACTGAAGCAGCACAGGAAGTAATAGGACGCTCTGAATGAACTGTAGATTCGGTGGAGTATTGTGGGGATCCACGTTGGCAAGCTGAAAGAGTATCAATTTTCAGTTTCCATCTCCAAACGAATCGGAGCAACTCACTATCTCTACAATACGACTCGCAATGTTGAATAGTTTTGAAGTTGTTTGGAGAGTGATATTTCGCTTCAGAGGCTCCTGAATCCCACATGAACTGCTGACATGTTCCCGTGACTGAATTGTACCACCAACGAGGCTCTGATGGGTTTGGGCCGGTGAGTTGAGGTTGGATACAGGCGAGAGCGCGGCTGGGGCAACAGACACCATCGGCAGTGGGGGCGTAGTTGGATTGGGGGAACTTTTCGGCCAAGTTAATCTGGAATAGGACTTGTAAAGCTTTTTTTAAAGAAAGTTATAATAGAAAATTTTGCCCATCTCTGAATAGTTAAACCCTTCTAGGAACTAAAGTTTGAACTAGCATAAAATCTGTGTAAAACATTGCACTTGGCTCAAATGTGGAGTGCAGAAACTCAAATAACAGATCAGTTATCTGGCCAAATTTCAACTTAAATGATCAATTTTGAGCTGAATCATCGTTTATCAAAGTTGCTTCTTCTCATGCACAACAGAGGGCAAGAAGCATTTCATCTTTGGAAAATCATAGCAATAGACTTGAGGAATCGCTTTGAAAATTTCAGTAGCTCAGAATCAAACGAAAAATTAGATTTCTACCAATTTTTGTGCTTCCAAGATACTTACCGTAAAAACTCTAATTCAAAACCATGGCGTTCTATTTTTTCCATACATAGCTGGGAGAACGTTCTATTAGAGGGTGGCACTCAATTAGAGGCTGGCATTATTTGACATCATTAGTAAAAACTTCGTTCAGGGATGTGGGATTTTTTCAGCAAATATTCAAACATAAATATTCAAAAAGGTTCAAAACATGCAAATTTGACCACTTTCAACTGTTTTCCTTATTTTAATGTTTCTTTTTGGTCAGTACTGGAACCAACAATTAGTAAGTGAAACGAAAATGTACTTCTGGGGTGACGCACTATTAGAGTGTGGCATTCAATTGGAGGGTGGCGTTCTATTTTCCAGAGCACTGCTCAGAGAACGTTCTATTAGAGGGTGGCGTTCAATTAGGAGGCTATCCTTCCCCTACGTTTGACCCCACATTTCTCCCATCTTTGGCACTCATATCACTTCCAAAAGAAACCATCATCCCCCGCCACTTATACCCATATTTACACATTTAAGGGTGCCGACCACACTTCTATCACAAACAATACCCTCATCGCCACCCTTTTATGTGCACACATAGTTTCAAGAGATATAGGATAACCGAAAAACACTTCTTTCCGATGAAAACTCACATGTGGACTCGTATGAATACAATCATAAACGTCTCCAATATACTCTCCATCCGATGGCCACATACATGCACCACCTCCATGAAGTCCTTGAACTGGCTCAATTGTTGCAGACGAGCCAACAGTACATCCTACAGGGAAAGCTCCCATAGCAGGACTTGGATCGTTCAAAGAGATTTTGAAACCGGCACCTTCAGGAAGAGGGCAAACGAAATACAACGGAGCGGTTCCTCCGGATGAGTGGTCCCGTAAGGAGATACAGACCCAACCATCGCGGGTTTCACGGGCCACGTGGGTTTCTTCTGGACAACGACATGTTCCGATTGAGCTGTCCATTCGACATTTTGAGCCAGGCCAGACGGCTTCACATTGCACATCGTAGGTGCATCCTGGTTGATTTGGGTTGACTTCTGAAAGGAGTTTTAATTGAAGACAAGGGTCTGGAACTTGAATTGAGCTACCGTAAAACCTGTAGTAGAAAAGCCCTCAACTTGGAGCCCATATAACTTTTCCTGTAAATGATATCAAAAAAGCGATGAACTGATAAATTGTTTATCGTGATATCACAAATATTTTGTCAGTTAACCTATTTTCGATATCTTTCACATGAAACGAGTTATGCGGGCACAAAGTTGAAAGTTAAGGGGAAGTGGAAAAAATTTTAGAACAAAGAAAATTTCAATCACTCCATAAAAATGCTTTCCAAACAATCAACTTTACGCCCATGTATCTCATACCCTGTAAAAGATATCAAAAGGTGATCGACTGATAAAATGTTGGTAATGTTATGATAAACATTTTTTCAATTGACTACTTTTTTATATCTTTCACAGGAAATGAGATAAATAGGGTCAAAGTAGATGCTAATTGTAAATAAGGCTACACCTCGAATTGCCCGTGGAGCGCACTTTTCTTTGAATAAATTTATCTCGGTTATTGTAAGAGATATCCAAAAGTTGTCCACTAATAAAAAGTTCATTATATTATCATCAATATTTTGTTAGTTGGCTACTTTTTGTGTTAGTTGACTACCATAAACTCACTCTCATAGCAGTAGCTCTCTCTCAAAATGTAGGTGCTAAGACAGGTACATAATCCGGTTGCACAATACATTCCCTGAAATTCAAACCTTCTTTCCTATCGAGGATTTTTTTTCCGACTCACGCTCAAGCAATCAGTATTATATTGACAAACATCTCCAACTCTTCCACTACCAGAAACCGAAAATCCTTGCATAAAAGGCTGAAGTGTCGGATCCACACAACCACGTCCGGATTCATAGACAGTTCCTGTTACGCATTCACGAAGGACCCATCGATTCTGGACACATTCCAAAAAGTTGGTCGAGGATTCTTGCATTAAACTGAAGGGATAAAATTAGGCTTAGAGGATTATGCTCAAAATTTTGAACTAACTTAGTTTGTGGATCGCAAAAGAGCATAGGCTTGGTACCATGATGAAGACATGGATCATCTTGTTTTATAAAATGCCTACATTCAACACACGGTCGGTCCACACAATCTTCTGCCAATGCCAATACAAACAGGTACAGTAACCCGAGAGAATGCTTCATTCTCTGGATTTTGTCACCAAAATCGAGTCTAAAAGGATAATGATACAAGATAAAATGAATGGCAAAAATGAAGAGAGGAGGTGTCTCCAAGAAAACAAATGGATGTTCCCGAATGACAGATACCTCACGGGCCGCCCAGGGCTCCTGCTCTGTGAGCAAAACAAATCTTGGGGGATCGGCCGCCGCCGCACCCGATTTGGATTGAGAGAGAAAACACATATATCACGATTTGAATGAATAGAGAGGGTGAGAATATTTTGGAGACAAAGGCCAATTATTATTAGACATTTTGGACGTGATGATTCCAAAATAATTTGTCTCTTTTTGTTGATTCTTCGATTGTTTGAGGAACAAAAAGATGGCATATTCTGAATGGGAGGAGAGGAGGTACCGTGTTTTGCGAATTCAAGGTCTGCGAATTTGAAAAGTCTTGAAAAGTTCTAAATATCGACAAAAATTTTTTAGTCAAAAATCCTTTCCCATTAAATTTTGAGAATTCCAGAGTCTAATATTCTGTAATTTGAGATTCGTAGATTCTGAAATTCTGATATTCTGAGATTCTGAGATTCTGAGATTCTGAGATTCTGAGATTCTGAGATTCTGAGATTCTGAGATTCTGAGATTCTGAGATTCTGAGATTCTGAGATTCTGAGATTCTGAGATTCTGAGATTCTGAGATTCTGAGATTCTGAGATTCTGAGATTCTGAGATTCTGAGATTCTGAGATTCTGAGATTCTGAGATTCTGAGATTCTGTAATTCTGAGATTCTGAGATTCTGAGATTCTGAGACTCTAAGATTCTAAGATTCTGAGATTCTGAGATTCTGAGATTCTGAGATTCTGAGATTTTGAGATTCTGAGATTCTGAGATTCTGAGATTCTGAGATTCTGAGATTCTGAGATTCTGAGATTCTGAGATTCTGTAATTCTGAGATTCTGAGATTCTGAGATTCTGAGATTCTGAGATTCTGAGATTCTGAGATTCTGTAATTCTGAGATTCTGAGATTCTGAGAATTCCAGAGTCTAATATTCTGTAATTTGAGATTCGTAGATTCTGAAATTCTGATATTCTGAGATTCTGAGATTCTGAGATTCTGAGATTCTGAGATTCTGAGATTCCAAGATTCTGAGATTCTGGGAATTCTAAAATTTTTATTTCCAGGGCTTGAAATCTGAATATTCTGAAACTCTTGGTTCTAAGGTTTCAACATTCCAAAATTTATAGATTTCGAAATCTTATTACATCGAAATACCCGATTCTGAAAGGTTTTCTGTCTTCGAATTTTTCATTTTCTGGTTCTTCCTGGGAGAAATTCCTATCAAAGACCCAAACTAGAAAAACCACAAAAGGGGTATTTTTTCTGTGTCTTTGCGACACAGTAACCAATCAATAGGTGCCCAGTTAGCATGATCTACCTTTTTCTCGGCCACCAATATTCAAATGCCGATTCGAAAAATAAGATCTTGATGATTTTGTTTCCTTGATTCATTTTTCTATCGTTTCTACTGCTTTTCGTTTTTTTTAAAGATCGAAAAATATTTTCAGAGAACGAATGAGACTACTAAAATATCCATTCATAATTCAAGAGGAAATCATTCAACAATTAGTTGCTTCTGGTCTTTTCGCTGTCCCTCTGTTCCCGTCGATGCAAAATTGATCCAGAAAATAAAATTGGAGCATTTTAGCTTAATGGAAATTCATATGAGCAACGATGGAAATGGGTTTCATACATCACTTGGTGAAGATGAACGGGAGCAATAATGGTTAATTTTGAAATATATCCGAGGCTCGTAGGTAAGGAAAAAGTTATGATCAAATATTCCAAGGAGAATTTGGAGTTCAGGTAATATATGAAAAGCTGGGAAAGATCTTAACTAAAATGTTCCAGGATCCATAAAGTGTATGATACAGATAATGATTTCCAGTTCCATTTGATTTACCTCAAAAAATTTGAGAAAATCGATCCATTGGCAATTCAGAATTACATCCTTTCCCTGTTTCAAACGCCTTCAGAAGTGAAACTTGTTGAGAATGAAACTGTACAACTTCAACAAATTCCCAAATTAAAAAATTTGAGCAGTTGTTTTATTCAAAAGGAAGAAGTGGAGGCAAAAGATTTTGAAAACTTTATAAAATCCCATCCAAGCTTGAAAGGGGTTGCTGTCGATGGTCAAATCAATGGAGAATTGGATGATGACGTGGATATTAGCGGAATTCGGAATCTGATGTTTTTAAAAGCTAGGAAAGCAACAGCTAACATTCTGAAGAATTTCAAAAAGTCCGTTTTAAATTTGAAAGAGGCCCAATGCGATAACAGCCTGCTTATTGACGTAGTGAGGAAATGGTATAACAAGGAAGCTTATGACCAACTGAAGCTGATCACTGTTATCCTAAAACCAGAATATCAATTCGATACTGTAGACAGACAACGATCAATTGAACATGTTCGAGAGTTTGAACCGAAACGATCGGATCCGAAAAGAAGACCAAAAGAATACTGGTATCAACAAGAGTTAGTTTTTTTATTCACAAAACTAACAATTATTTTTATAGATACATCCCTCTCAAAGTCGGCGAGCCCATGACTGCGGGTAATCAATTGGATATTGAACAGAAAAGCGGAGGAAAGCTAATGAGTATAATTTGTGAATTTGAACGGTTTCAGTTTTTCGTTTGGCTTCTTGAATATTGTGGCTTTGGCAGAGCGAAACTAAAATATATTGTAATCTAGAATTTTTTCTCGATTTAGTCTCTCGAAAGTCTCGATTTAGTGCGGAAATATTCTTTTTAAAAACTGTTAAATTCAAACATTCATTTCTCAAATGCTTTCCTGCTTATTTTCCCATAGAAAAATTTCCAGAAATCCATCGGAAATCTAGAAAAATCGAGAAAATTTAGTTCATTTTCGCTCTGCCTGAACTTTTTTCGTTTTTATTGTGTTCCAAAAAAGTCAGGTCCCACAACGACAACTACCGTAATCTATATTAAAAAGTAGTTTTATTTTCCGGATTTATTTTCTCGACGTTCACTGCTTCTCGTCACTTTTTCTTCATCATTTTTCCCCGAAAAAGGGGGAAATGTGAATCTTTGATGACGAGAAAATTGGCTGGAAGCGAACGAAAATCGAGAAAATCCGGAAAATTATCATATATCTAGGTTACTGTAGTTTTCGTTGTGGGACTTTCGCAGCTCCGATGGTTGTAGCACAATAATATTTATTTAATTATTGCAACTAATTTTGAAAAAATTTTATTTTTTATTGCATCGATTAATGATCACTTCTTTTCTCTTTTTGACCTTCTTTCCCTTCCCCAAACAATAGAAATTAACAAAAAAAGCAATGTTTATTCAGATGCCATTTCTCTATTCTTTCTCAAGTTTCACTGATTTCCTGACGGTGATTAGTGTACTTCGAGTCCATCGCCCATTTGGAATGACGTCGTCGGCGATTTCTGCAAAAAAAACTGAAAATTCTCGCCAAAATCTGAAATTACTCCATACCGCGGCGATTTTCTTCGCACAACTCTTCGTGCTCTTTTCAGAACGAATTCCGAAATGATCGGCGATCGATGGGACACGTGTCACTCCATTCACACCGATTTCAGTTCCTTCTGAAACGATATTCAGCGTTTTTTATCAACTTTCAGCTCTCTAACTCACTAGCCACAACATTCCACCAAGTGGTCATTCGAAGCGAATTGTAGAGGGAAAAGCCGACGAGAAGAAGCTCGAAGAGCACTGTGTACCAAGACTAAATGATGAAAAATATTTAGGAAAATTCTGAGATTCTGAAAACTAACGTCCAGTTGATACATTTTCGAATAAGCGTAATGTTTGGTATTCAGAGAGCGGAGGAACTGACAAAGTCGTAAATCTGATTGGCAGGAGGTTACTGTGATTTCTCACGTTGCTGTTGAAACTAAAAGGTTCTCTCCCCTTGGAGACCTACTTTACGATCATATAACTTTATTTAAATGAACATTTACCAGAACTTTTTTGGAGCACACTTTAATATATAGTTTCTTTCAACAGAGAAGAGAAAATTTACTAACCTACTGTTTCTTAATTTAGAAGATAAAACCGTCTATATGGGGGGGGGGGGGGGGGGGGTTGCACAACAACAACAAAGCGAATGACGAAGATGCGCTAAAATTGGAATAATCACAGATGTTTTTAGAGGAAACGGACCTGACCAGATAACAGGAAATGGTTATTTTTTGGAGCAATGGGGGGTATATAGGAGGACTCGGAGCACATGAAAAAGTGAAATAGTATGCGGAGGCACATATATATATATATATGGAAATTATATAAAAGAAAAACATTGATCTAATTTTGTTTTGATCCATCTTCTGCGGTTGGACTCGCTTCTGCACTGAACGGATCCACATATTCCGAAGAGTCATCTGGAAATGATTTTTTTCAAACTATGATTCAGCTGACAAGGAATTACCATCAGCAGCTGCTGGCATGAAGCTAAACGAAGTTGGCAATGGCATCATTGTCGGTGGCATCATCGAAGGCATCCCAGTATCCATGGCCGGCGCTTGACTAGTAGCCATTCCAGACTGCAGATACCGAGAGCCAACTCCACTTCTTGCATTTCGGAGACTGTTCGTACTCGACTTGTTCGAATCGGCACCTCCTCCCATTAGATGTGGAGCAGACATGACTGGTGGTGGTGGAGCGACGACTTCTTCTTCAACGCCAGTACCAACATACTTTTGTTGGACTGGATCCCAGACAATCTGAAAAATAAGGAACATGAATTTATGAGAATTGAATTCGAATCCTGAGTCTTACCGATGGTTTCTTGTCATCCGGAAGAATCATCTGATTTGCCGATGGAATCGACTTGATGATTTTACTTCTGATCGAACCAAACCATGAACCAGAATTATTCTTCTCCATCTTGCCAAGCTCCTGTGGTTGTTGTGGTTTTTCAGGTGACGGTGGAATGGCCTAAAAAGATCAAATTTCACATTTTTGAGAGCTTTGAAAGCTCTTACAGTCTTGGTATTCGGCACTGAAGGTTGACCATGGGTTCGAGGTGGGGCCGATGACATTGCTGGTGGTGTTGAAGGAACCGGAGCAGGCGGTGTTTTAATGACTGGCATTGGCTGGTACATCGGTTGAGAGATGGATGGAGGTGCTGCACCCCACAAGTCATCTAACTCCGATCTGGGACTCATCGCAATATCAGCATCTATTTTTTTTGTGGCCATTGGGATGGGCTGAGATGCTGATACCGGCGGTGGCTGAGTTTTTGGAGGAGGGGTCATCGGTGGAAGATGAGGTGTAGGGATTGGTTGAGGGATATCAACAGGTGGTGGTGTCATTTCCGGAATAAACGACTTCCTCACTGGTGGTGGTGTCAGAACAGGTTGCTCCACTGGCTTTGGTGGTTCTGGAGTAGGCTCTGGGATGGTAGAAGTTCTGGACGTAGACACCGCAACAGTTTCCGTTGAAATCGATCCTCCAGTCTCTGTAGTTAAATAAGAAGACTCAGATGACGTTATGGTAGGTGGCAGCAGCGCGGGTTTCGTTGTAGGAGGAGGTACTGTTGCGGCATGCGGCTGCTGTGTTGGTGGTTGCTCATAGTAGTTCCCCGGAGGAGCTGACACTTCACGGTGGTTAGGAACATATCTCTTCGTTATTTCAATGGGAGCCTGATGCTCGTCGTGCCACTTTTGAGCTTCCGAAGCGAGAGAGTGATCTTCTTCTGGTTGTTGTATCTCTTGATTCTCTTGAACAGATGGCATCGCTCCACTCAACGTCATTCTCATAGCAGCAATCCATTCGATTTCAGCTGGTGTTGTGGCTGCAACGTGTTGAAGACTCTCGGCCAATTCACACAAATCAAGCAACACATTCTGATCAAATGCTCCAATGAACATCCACAATGATCTGGCAACTTCAGTACAGTATCGGAAGGCGTCCGTCGCAAATCCACCATAGGAAGCTAGCTTCTTGGCGTATTCGATACGAGACACTTGATAGTCAACTGATTTGGCGAGTGGGGAAGCAGTGTTACCGTTTCCTAGACGAAGAGCGTAGTCGAAGATGTCAGTTGCATGGAGATCAGTGAATGAGAATCCAGCCGTTCCCGATAACCCATCGACTCTGTTCAGCAAACTAGATCCACTGTGCACCAGGCCAATGTGCTCTCTAGATCGTTCTTGTCCTTCTGTAGCCGACGTAGCTGGCAGACTAAACGAATCGTATCCAGTTAGAATGCAGACAACGAGCAAACAGAAGTCAGCAGCGCAGTCTCGTTTTCTTCTCGCCAGAAGCAAACCAAGACGATAAATCGTTAGCATCGCTGTCTCCGAGCTGAGATTAGCGAGTACAATCGCCGCGTGTCTCTTCCAGTTGTTGTCGTCATCAAATGCTGAATTCGTGAGAATAGGTGGCAGTTGATCGTTAGCAACAGCGACAAGTGTGGCAAATGGATCATCGATAGATCGAAGATTCATGAATCGTGTTTCGATTTCTTCGATTTTCTTTGCATCATTCGGATGGAGTCTACGGATCAAAGTCATCGCATCCGCGTAGAGCCCATCAGAAATTGCACTCTCCACTGCCTCATTGATATGTCCCCCAAGCAGGAACTTATTGAACCGCTCTTTTGCATCTAACTTCTGTGGGGCATCCAGCACTCCTCCTTCAGCAATTCCCGTATTTTCTGCTAGTTCTTCCGATGCATTTGTCAGCAAAGTGGCAATATCCGGGCCAGTGACTCTCTGTAAAGCTCAGTTTCTCATTAGGAAACAAATAAATGTAACTCACTCCATGCTGTTGAACCATAACTTCCAATAACTGCCAAATCAGCAACGCATCTACCACTTCACTTTTTTTAACATCTGGAGAATTCAGCATCTGTCGCAGAGCATCGACTTGTCGTTGAATATAAAGGCGAACAGAATGTGTTGGTGTCTGTCCAGCTATCAATGGCCCTTTGAAGTTTTGCACAGATTCAATAACTTTTCCAGACTGCTCGTCAAAATTCAGAAAACTTCGTAAGTCATCCACATGAACACTAGTGGTGCTGAGAACATGACCAGATACGTGATCAACGGTTCCGGCTGGCCTGATGATCACCATCTTTCCTCCAACTCCGATGGTGGCGAATTGAAGACAAGTGTGATAGTGAAGTGGTCCATTACTCAAAACTTCTTCCGGTTGGGAAATGGCAACTTTATGGTCCTCTGGGTCCATAATTCGGTCTCTGAATGTGAAGGAAATGTGAAAATAACTAATTTTCAACTACTTACTTATTGAAATCGAGTTTCGCACTCTCGGCAGCATCTCGTTGCGCTTTTTCATAAGCCAGTCGGGATTCTTCGATTTGTTTTTGAGTGTGCTGGTCTTGCATGGATTTACAGATCTAAAAATCGAAATTTCACTTTCAAGAAAGGTAAAACTGAAAATTTCTACCTTGTAAAGAGCTGTTTCCTCACTATCCCCAGCACAAACGTAGTTGAAGTATTCTCGATTGAAAATATTTCGAAACTCTTGAACTCGCTTATATGGTTTGTTATAAACTGCACAGTAGAAGATGTAGGCGACTCGTTCAAGAGGTTTGAAGCGATAATATTCTTCTGGAGGTGGCATTGTTCGGAATACATGATCCACCATTTGTGATCCAAGTTTCACAACTCCGAAATAATATTTTTCATCTTCCTCTCCAAAATGATCCGCTGCCAAAATATTGCTGACACTTCTAGAACCTTGCGCTCGTCGTGCCTCCAAATTGTACGTTCTCAACTCTTCATCCTCTCCTTCCTCATCCTCCAACTCTCCGGAATTATTCTCCGATTCTCCGGAATCATAGCCTCCAAACCCGTTACGTGGAGCATTAGTGTACTTTTCAGCAATAGATGATCTGGGTCTTCGCAGAGATTCGTTCATATTGTTCGGTAAGAGTCCAGCTCCAATCCGACTGTTCATAAAGTCACTAGCATAGCCCGAAACGTTTCCAGATCGTGGGTAAATTCCAGAGAAACTTTCATTAGGCCCACGAGAGGAGTTATGGTAATATCTGCAAAAGTTTCAGGGGTTTTAAGATGTTTTTCATTTTTCTAACCGTTTATCGTATCCGTTAAAAGTCGAGTTATGTGTTCTGGAGCCTCCATTAGACATTCCATGTTTATTAACAACTTTTCGAGAATTATGAGGCGCTGGTTGGATAATCATCGGACCTCGTGCCGTTGGAAGATCCTTGTCCAATCGGCTACGACGTGGGGGTCTGAAAAAAAAGACAAAGTCTATTGATTGGCTTGCGAAAAAGGAAAAGAAGACAGATAGATTTCAATCAGTTTCCTGTTTTTCCTCACCTTGAATGCGTCACCGATGAAGCATCGTCCTCTCCATTTCTAGAAGAAGGCGATGAAGCTGAATATGGTTGATGCCAGTCGTTCATTTTGAAGCCAGAAACTGAAACAAAATATCAATTATAATCTTTTATCTCCCTCATTTCTCCCCATACCTCCATTCACTCGTTGGTCATATTTCATCGAATCGATCTGGAAAAAAATCGAGAATATTTAGAGTCAAGTATCGAACAGTTCGGCTTTTTCTCCCTTGGGTAAATATTGGACTACAGACAGTGGGGAAAAAGGAGACAGATTGAGGTCAACCGTGTCACTATAGTGCCAACACTGCGACGTAAAGTTACACACAACAAGAGATGGTGGAAATTTTGTTCCGTTTTCGTCCTGAATCAAAACTGCATTATGATAAGAACAGGTGAAAACGATTAGGAAAGAAATGGTGATTGATCCATTTTCCCGCTGTTTTTTTGTCTATGTGAACCGACAGAAGGTCGGCGTTGGCCGAAAATCGATAAGTACTTATGTATTGTGTTTCTGGTGAAGTGCCATATGCTGCTGTTTGGCAAACATATAATAACAATTTTTGCGAAATATTAAAAAATCCCCACCTTATATCTTCTCATTCTCTGCTCGAAATCCATTTTTTTCTGAATTTTAGCTCAAAATTCAAAACACCGCGCGTCCACGTCACCTAGAAGATGGCGTGGAGCCACGAAGAGAATCTAGGAAAATTGCTGAAAAACTGCCTTGAGTGTTCACGTAAAAATTCAGTTTTTGAACGCGCAACTGTCGTCAAGTTAGACGCATCGCGTACTTCTTCGCTACAGTAATCCTGTAAAAAATCGTTTCGGTGTTTTTTATAGAAGTTCGGAATGGCTTTTTAAAGTTTCGGAATCGAAAAATTGTTAATTTTTACAGTAGAAAATTTGCTTTCCCATCGCAAAATGTCTAGAAATTAACGAAAAATTAACAAACAGACTTCAAAAACCGAAAAAAAGTGATTCCGTTCGAGACCCGCACGAGAAGATTTTGTGTGCGCCTTTGATATACCGTAGTCAAAAGGCAAATACTCACTTGCTATAGGATCATTTGCTATTTTCCCATTTGCTTTGAAAGCTCATTTGCTATACTATCACTTGCTATGGATCTTTTGCTATTTTAGCTCATTGCTACAGATCATTTGCTATGGGGTTTCAGAAATGTTTCATGAATGAGGTCATGATAACCGTTTTTATTTGTTTTATACTACAGCAGACATGAGCGGAATTCCTTATTCCTTATTCCGGGTGTTTTTTCAATTCCTTATTCCTTATTCCTTCTTCCGGGTTTTTCAATTTTTTTTCCTTATTCCTTATTCCTTATTCCTGATTTTTTCTTATTCTTCCGGATAATTAGAACAATTAAAAATTAGAAATTTAAAATTAGAAAAAACGCTTTCTAAACCTAAACTACCACTTAAAAAGTCGTTTAATGAAGCCTAAATTCCTCTTTTATACGTTTTATCAAAAAGTTTCAAAACACATTCGGCTTTTTTCGAAATTTTGTTCCGTATTCCTTATTCCTTCTTCCTTATTCGGGGTGTTTTTTCTATTCCTTATTCCTTATTCCTTGTTCCTGATTTTCAATTTTTGTTCCTTGTTCCTTATTCCTTCTTCCGGATTTTCAAAAATTTTAGTCCGCTCATGTCTGTACTACAGGCTTAGGCTTAAACATTGTTTTTTCCACAACATTTTGCTTAAGCCTATAATTTCAAATAAATATAGCAAATTATCTGTAGCAAATGAGCTAAAATAGCAAAAGATCCATAGCAAGTGATAGTATAGCAAATGAGCTTTCAAAGCAAATGGGAAAATAGCAAATGATCCTATAGCAAGTGAGTATTTGCCTAGTCAAAAAGCTCTAACTGCGAAACAAAGCTCCGGAAATATTCTGACCGATTTTTATGGTAAAATGGTCGGGATTCCGAAGTCCGTTCAGATTTTCCTTATCTTTACAGATTTTCTAATTCGACCAATAAAAAAAGAAAAAAATGAAAGCATTGAAGTATTAAAGATTTATTATTCAGATCAGATCATATTTATCACCAAAATTAAAAGGTATTATCATAAGTGAAAAACGAAATTTTACAACCCGTAAATTGTCTTTGCTCTGAATACCAGATCCGCTTGCCATGGAAGAATCGTTCCACGAATCGCCGATGTTGGAAGCCACGAGTATCCAATTATCGTAGTCAGAATTCTCCGCTCCCGAAGCGAAATCGCCCACACATCATGCTCAGTCCAGGCGTTGTCCGTGTCGTTTTCGTTTTCAGCAACTTCAGATGCCAAATGGGCGGGGCTTGTGTCATTGGATGGGATTCGTTTGTCAGCGGTGACAATTGAGCTATCAAGACGGCGCATTGAGAACATCTGGAAAATAAATGATAGAACTAAAAGAGAAAAATCAATACATACATGGGCATCTGAATCAGAAACTCCAATCATTTTCAGAATCGAAGTCAAGTGTTCATCCTTCGATGAGTTCTCCAAATGCCATTCGTTGGGAATATTCTTCTTACTATCGACTAAAACTTGACATTGTGCTTCCACACCACCACTCAGAACAATATAATAGCATCGTCGATTAGCTCCGAATCTTGGATGGTTTCCTCTTCCAGCCATTCCAGTTCTTCCATTCGGATTCAATGGAAAACCAGCGGCACTCAGTTTCCAGCACTTTTCGCTATTACTGGTGACATCGTTTGCTTGGCGACTTCTCCAGATTCTTTTTAATTCTCCGACATTCTGAAGAAAAATATAAGTTGCTTATAACCGGAGATGTGTTTTTTCCCTTCTTAATCTCGATCTTTTCCATTTTCTCATAATTGTTCTTGTTGCGGAAAATAGGCTTTTTGAAAACTTTGAAATTTGAAAATTCAGTTTTCACCGGTTTTCCTGCTTATTTTATTGTAGAAAAAAACTTCGGAAAGCAGGCGAAAATCGAGAAAAATTGAGCAAAAAGATATTTTTTTCTTTAAAAAAAAATCGAGAAAATAAATTCAGAAAATGAAGATATTCTTAGGTTACGGTAGTTGTCGCTGGGGGACCTCATATTTTCTTATGACATACCTGTTCTGTTGCAATATCCACATATTTCTGAACATCAGCATAAAACTCCTCTGCAGGCTTACAATAGAACGGTGGATTGTATCTTGGCACAAGAACCGCCCATGGCTTTGAAATCAAATTCACACTAATTTTCATAATCGAACTTTCTGGATACTTTTCGAAAAACTGTAATTCAGAAGCCTTCCGAGAACCCGATTTTTCGTATGAATCTCGTAACGTCATCATTCGAATGTGATTCTGAAAAATTGAAAGTTGAGAATACTGTAGAACTAGAACTCTTACATGAATGTTATGAAGTTCTTGCAGTTCAGTCTTGTTCGTTGTAGTTTTCTGTTTCTGTTCCGTATTTTTCCATTGTTCCATTGATAATTTCCTCCAAAATGAGTTGACAAACTCGTTCTTTTTGAATGGTACAGAGGGATTACGGTAGATTGATCCGAATCTCCAAATCGTTCGATTCTTGTCTCTGGATTCAAAATCCGGATGATCACATTCCGAAAAGAATGCGTTGATGGTATTCGTGAATGTGCAACACGCTGAGCAAAGGATACAAAGAAGAGTAAAAGGAGGTGGAAGGGGTGGGCGGAGCCTAAAATCTTCAGCCAAGGAATACAACTGGAATCTCCAAATTTTATCCGCTTCATCATCAACGTTCTTCGCAGTTTTGGAGAAAAATGCGAAGAGAATTGGCCATAGAAGTAGTTTGAGAATCACAAAATACTCAATGATAATCAGATAGGCTGGGAGGGATTGGGCGGGACAAGCATTATTGGCATATTGACCCACTAAGTTACAGTATTGTTTTGGTGCTCCCAAGAAAGATTTTCGACAAGTCTCCGATTCAGAGAGATCTGAAATTTTTAGATTGGATTTGCATTGAAATACTGGAAGCTTACTGGAAAGATCGGTGGTGAATAAACTGAGCCAAATCCATGACATTGTTTTTCGAAGAACTTCAATTGTCACGGGACGATCTGGGAACACTACTGCTTGGATTGCAACTGCACTGCTCAACATGACAAGAGCAATCATGAAGAGGAAGTTGGTGAAATCTCGAAGAAGCATTAATTTGACACGAACGATCATTGGACCGAAAATGTCGGAGAGGGGGATATACGTGAAGAGAGTGGAGTAGGAGATGTAGAGAACGAAGAAGGCGGAGACAACTTTGGCAGAATAGATTGAGGAGATTCCCTGGAAAAATTTGAATATTTCAGAATTCAGGATACTACACCATATCAAAACCTCCAATTCTCAACTCTAGTCTTTATTCTTATAACCATTATTTGATTTTCGTATGACTTTTAGGACAATTTTTATTTGAGGAATAGACGTGCCTAACTTTCGCAAGTTGAGCTTTCTAGGCCACCATGGTAAATGGCCGAGAAAACAGCCCAAGTGAATATCAGGACATTACTAGGCCCTTGAACAGGGCGGCCTAGAAATCTCAACTTGCAAAAGTTAGGCCACCAGAATTTATATACTTACCAACAAGTCCAACAACGCTTCGGCTGGAAACACTTTCATGACCAGCAAAAGAATCAGAAAAACCAAAAGTGTAAAAACATCGAAAACCCTCCAAGGCATTAGCGACAACGGAATTTTCCGGGCTCTCGCACCTAAAACCCAGCAATTTTCGAGCCATAAAAATAGAGACCACATCCACATTCCAGTATCCCAAATGTTGGATCCACATCCCGGAAGGACTACCTGAATATTGGAATTTTTCTAAGAGTTTCAGATGAACTGTCAGATTACCGAATAAGCTAGCAGGCAAATGTAGACTATTCTGAATAACAGTGAAAGCCAATATTTGACAATTGGAGTTGAGTAAAAAGTGGAAAGGCTTGGAGCATGTGCACGACGGATGCGGTTCTAAAAATAGTTTTGAAGTCAATTAGATATTTTTGAGCGATTACCTTCTTCCCAAATGGTCGAGAATCCTTGTCGATTTCTTCAATATTGAGTGGGAACACCATGGATTGAGGTGTTGCAGATTCAGCACCTCCAAGAGCAGAATTCAAGCCAAAAGCTGTCGAAAGAGGAGCAGTCAGAGCTGTTAGAGCCTCACTTCGAGAAGAAATTACACTATAAAAAACATCAATTGATTTTTTTCAAAGTTTTACACCAACCTGTAAGTGGAAATAGCTCTCTGCTTTTGTGGAAACTTTCCAACATCCAACAAAGCTACAGTAGGCGATACTGTACTTTCCTTATTCCGATCTTTTGGACGAACCAACATCCAAAACTTAACAGGAATTATCAGTATAGCAGATATGCAAATTTTGGCCCATTTTGGGATAAAAAATGGGAAACATTTGGCTTGAAGGTTCCCGTAGAGTTTGCGATGAACCCATCGTTGACAGCACTCGTGAGCAATGATTTCTCGGGCGTTGCACTGGAAAAACTGATTTTTAAAAAAGTATGAGAACAGTGAACTTGCATGGAATGCCAATTGAGTCATATTGAATCCATAAAAGTGTTCCATTGGCTGGCAAAGAAGTTGATAGGCTTTTGCAGGGGAGGAGGAGAAAACCTGGAATCAATTGAAGTTTATGGTAGCGCACAATTACCCGGACTGATGAAAATGGTTCTTCAGAAAATTTGAGATCCCCGAATCCATAAGAACTTTTAGAACCTCGAATATCTCCAGATTTTTAAAATCTATTTTAAAATCTTTAAGATTAAAATTTTTAATTTCAAAATCTCGAAGTACACAACTTTATGAGGATTGGATAGTTAAAGTTTTAAGTTTAAAAAATTGGCATTCAAAAGAAAATTTCGAACAATTTTCTCTTTTAAAATTCTTCCGGATGGCGCCCAATTACCTGAACTGATAAAAATAGGTATATCTTTAGACATAAATCCCCAAAAATGAAGGCGTAATTTTTCGTTATAATTTTCATGACATGAAGCAACTTTGACAAGCGTTACCTCAGCTCAAAGTTGATAAAATAATTAGAAACTTGGCCAATTTACTGATGGTCTGTTTAAATTTTCGCACTCCAAATTTGAGCCCAGTACAACGCTTTACTCAAATTTTATGCTAGTACAAACTTGAGCCTCCTCACCGTATCAAACAGTTTTGTGGCTGACGCAGAGAGTGTATCCGACAGCTCGTTCAGCGATTTTTCATAAAAGTGCCAATCGTGACTCTGAAATATTCAAAACTTTTTTCTAGCTTTTTCCTGCCTGAATCTTACCTCATGAGCTAAAGATCTTGAAATTCTTGACAATACCATAGAAAACGCGACGGGTTCATCTGCAAATGCCGCCAAACACTTTACAATTCCAGGTCGATGCAATAGAAGACTCCAAATTGCAAGAATTCGAATGGATTCGTGTTTATCCCGATGTGAAGAATCATTGCAGAAGACATTAGGATCGAATAGATTGTCAACTCCAAATGATAACTTCTTTACCAATTTCTGGATATCATTAGCAAATCGGGGATCGATTTCCGATGGGATATAAGAATACCCCATGGATTGACAGAGAACGATAGTTGTGAAAAAGTGCTCATCGGCATGGTGCATCATTCGGATTAACATATTTGAGGTGACACGAATTGGAGGATTCAGCTGAAGAACAGATGATAGGAAATTGAGCTGATCGTCCTTAGTGATGCATTCACAAAGAATCATAGTCAGCAGTTCCTCGTCAAGTTGAGCGGCCACATCCATTGAAGATAAAACTGATGGAGAATTCAGTTTGGCTGCTAACAGAAGGACTTGTCTCTCTTCTCCAGTAGTTGCATAACACTCCAAACATCGATCCACTACCACAGAAGAAAGCTCTGGTAGTTGAGAAGAGTCGATGAATTCGATAAGTTGAACGTCTCCAGAGTTTGATGACGTTAGAAGTTTTGTAATCAAAGTGTAGCAATCAGCAAGGCCAAGCGGGTAGAGTTGGGAGCGGAGCCTGGAAATTTAGGATTATCGTAGTTGCTTTATACACGCACTTTAAGCTCAATTATCTAGGTTTCATCAACAGATATCACTCAGAAAAATGTCAGAATGTCAGAAAAATTTCAACTGATAAATTGTTTATCATGACATCAACAATTTTCTATCAATTGACAGCGTTTTGATATTTCTCATAGGAACCGACATAATCAAGCTCAAAGTGCACCAGATGTCACTCACCAACTGACAAATTTGTCATTGTCGAAGCTAGAAGTTTCTAGAAGCAAATGGCTGGAATGAAGAATTGCACAAAGTTCACAGCTGTCTTGAAGAATGACTACTGGAATTCCATGTTCCACAAAAAACAACAGCTCGGTAAGGGATTCCTTGGAAGCTCCTGGAACAATTTTTTTTGTAATAAAAATATCTCTAACTTTTACTCAATTTATTTCGTTTTCTGTAAAAGATATTAAAAAGTAATCAAATGATAAAAAAAATTGAAAATCTTATGAAGAACATTTTATCAGTTGACCTTTTTTTGTATCTTTTTCAGAAGACGGAATAAATCTGGTCGAAGAATACATGAGAGAAATTTTGTTTTTTTTCAAATCACAGCTGCATAACTGTTTGATGAGAATTTTTTCATCTTATATTTTAAAACCAGTGTGTTTTCTGGTATTGGTTTACTCTTACAAACATAATTTTGCGGGCAAAATTACAAAAGAAAACAAATTTTCGGGACCTCAAAAAAATCTCAAATTATTCAGACTTCCCAAGAATCGCTCTCAACTTGTTTTTTGAAATTTCTCTCTGGTTTCTTGAATTTCTTATCATTTTCGTTTGTTTCTTCTTTCTCATTGAATTAGGACAAAAAATCCCACTGACCAGCAAAAACGGCCACCGGAAACGGTCGCTTATCATTTGAAGGAGATAAGAGAATCGCCGCCGAATTTCCGTATGTCGATGGACTCATTGGTTCGGATGGGACTCCGATTAGAAGAGCTGAAATGACTAATTAAGACTAATCAAATATTAAATATGGTACCTGGAGGGGGATGAGCAAGTTTTACAGCAGCCGCAGCTCGCAACTTGGCTATTGACTCCGCTGTAGCTTCCAGAGAATCATTAGCTTCTTTTCGACAAATCAGAAGTAAAGTGTTGAGAGATGTATCAACTACACTTTTAGAAGTAGCTGACCCTGAAGCCATGACTTCATCTGAATTGACAAGGATGTGGAGTACTTCTGCCTGATGCTCCAATTGAGGCAAAACATTTTTCAATGCTCCACTGGCCACTCTCGATAGGGGATCATTCACTTCTCCAGATGATATTATCCATGTTCCACAACCGATTAAAAAGGATTTCAGGCCATTTTCCACTTGTGACATATACTTTGTAGACAGCGAATTGCCATGGGAGATTAGAGAAATAATAATATCCGGGACACCTTGATCTACCTCTGATGCAGCAGCAGCTAGTCGGCTATAAATATGTTTGGTGGCTCCTGGAAGAGCTTGGGGGCTTCCAAGGATCAGTGCAGGGCATAGCTGAATGCCAGCGGCAGATCCGTCTCCGGATACAACCACTGGAACAGTATCCGGAAGGAGGGACATATCCGGCACATTTGCCGGATCTGTCTCGTCCATTTTGGGAGGGATAGGGGAAGCTGAAAGTGTTAAGATGACGATTATGACATAATAAAAAAAGAAGAGGAGCGAGAGATAAGAGACGGAGAGAGATATCAGTGTGTGATAGTTAGAACATGTCGCGCATCGTTAGTGTCGATGGCAAGGGGGTAGTAGTTGCCACCCCTGTGATATATCAAGACAATATCATAAACCAGTTTCCATGAGGCTGATTTGTAACGGACAAAAGAAGGGAGAGATGTGTCTTAATTTCAGTTTAATTAGGTTAGGAAGAAGTGATGAGAGGATGATTAATTGGTTGAATTAAAACCGTTGGCGGAAGTTTAAAAATCGAGAAGGCTACCCTTACTTTGCGTCTTATCTCGGTTTCTTTAATCTATATGAAACAATTGTCAACTGATAAAACATTGGCGATATTATGATAAATAATTTATCAGTTGACAACTTTTTGATATCTTTCACAGAATTTGATAAACTTGAGCTCAAAGTTGACGATTTGAATGGGCTTCTATGAGAGGAAATACGGTATTTTGTGAATCTGAATAAATAAAACCACCATGAACAAGAAGGACCAACTGTTTAGATAAGTTCACCTATAACATTTAGTCCACCGGGCGGAGCCAATCAGTCTCCTGAGGTGGTCATTAATCGCCGTCAGGGGAGCAAAAAGTCGTAAAAGTGTACAAAGCGATGTACCTCATCTCTCTTCTAGTGTAAATCTGTGTGTTAATTGCCACGTCATGTGCAGAATGGTGGCCTCGGACCATGGTGCTCCTTTTGTCTCTCAGCAGGTGTTTTTAATATCCCGTAGAGAAATAGTGTAGGGGATTGAGAGAGTGGGCTGGAGAAAATGATGACGTATGTCTTCATTAGCAAACAGGGAAGCAGCATACGGACTGTCAAAAGAAATACGGATATGCAAATATCTGGGGTTGCAGGAAAGATATAAAAGAATTGATGAAAAGAAATACGGAAATAGAAATAAAAATTGCTTGTTTTTTCCAATGGCTCTAAGCTGCTACCGTATTCTGCTAGTACTCATTGGCTTACGAGTGACTATTGAAGTGCGTGGACAAAAGACAATGATAGATGGAAATACGAGTGAGTGTGTTGCATTTTTTGGGGAGAGGAGGAGGAGTAATTTGGTGGACCTCAAGAATAGAGACAGGTGGTCCCATAGGATGGAGTGCATGAGTTGGAGAGGATAACGGATTGGGTGAAGATTTATGTTGCGGTTAGAGGCTTGGTAATCAATGAACTGGATTTGAGGGGAATCTAACAAAAAATGCTTATTTTCTTGTTCTAAAAAAATCGTTTATTGATCTCTAGAAAATTCGGAGGAATTCTTGAAACCTTTCACATTTTGAAATCTATAGCCTCTACATGTGATACTTCTTCGGTGTTGAATTGTAACTTTTGGTCAGAGTTGAAGGTAAATTTGGCTTTTGGACTGCGATTGGCTAAATTCTGGCCCAAAAACGCGCTCAAACAGAAGTTGCCCAAAAACGGCTGTATAGCGGACTATGGTCAGATTTTGGTCGGAAGTTGAAAGTGAAAATACATACTGTTAGATCGGAACCTCGTCTTTTATATTTTAAAGTCAAAATGAGAACAGAAGGTGCCGGTAACGCCCGAGTTGGTCTCATAGAATATGAAATTCTTGGTTTTAGGTGCTTGAGATTTTCTGAGCAATCAGAAAGTTACTACTTACCGTAAATCCGTAATGCTCTTCTAGGTCAAGTCTGAAAATCTAGTATTCTAACAAATCTGACCATATAGTATACGATTTTGGATTTCTCTAACATGTGTATTTTGTTCTTCTTACAGTCAATAATGATTTCCAGATCTAACCTCTTCTCGCCAATACGACTACATAGAACCATATCCTGGTTCTCTTATTCAAAACCCAAACGTCCGAACAAAACCAGTTGTTAGACCACGGAAAGATGAAGACTGCTCGGATGAGATTTTGAGAAAGGTCATGAATGAGGTGAGCTAAAAAGGATCATTCCGAGAATATTTTTTTAAGAACCAATTCTTCTGAAAAATCTGGACTTTTGAGTTTTTGATTCCATGATATTAGGTTCTTCACAAGCCTTGAACACTCAAATTTGAACCCACAAGTCTCATTCACTGTAGAACTGAAATGTGTTTTGAATTGTGAATACTGCTGAAATCTATTATTTCTATAATTTCCAGCATATCAGTGACGAAGGAATGACAGAATCAAAACGAGCAATCCACGCTGCTGCTCGTCGAGACTTTGAGGGAACATGGAGTGTCATTTGTGCTCCGTGTGCATTTTCGTATCTGGCTCATGCCCAGGAGTACTGTATTCATTCCAGACATGGAATCACTTGTTTGTTGTATAGGGATGGATGAACATTTATTTACAAAAAAATATAGAGACCTAATAAATTATAAATTAAAATAAAGTTATAACCACCTAAACAAGAAACAGAAAATCACAGAGAAAATGAGGTTCAGATAAAAAGAAAATAAGGCTGAAGTTGATACAAATCCACCCAGTAACCGGACATCAAAGACTTTTTCGACGACTTCTTTTTTATGAAGTCGTAAATCGCATTTCACTTCTCCACCACGTTCGATGTTCTCTATTTTCAGATGATACGGCACAGCTTTCTTGGTCTCGCGGGATAGGAACTGAAAATATAGATTTTCAAAAAAAAAATAAGGAGTGCAGGAGAAATTGTTTTGAATTTTAGCAAATAAGAAACCTTTTAAAAAATTATTGGCATTACATTTTCAAAAACATCACTTTTTGAAGGTTTTCGACAACGCACCAGTTTCAAACTACCGTAATACCTGTATTAGAAGGGCTCAGACACTCTCAAGTTTGAGCTTATTTATCTCGGTTTTTATGAAAGATATCAAAAATGTGTCAAATGACAAAATTTTGATATTATGATAAATAATTTATCAGTTGACCAAGTTTTAGTATCTTTTACAGGAACTGAGATAATTGAGCTTTAAGTTACCTGCTTGGTTGGGCTTCTGTTAGAGGGAATACGGTTTTAATGTTGTGATCAACTTCCTCCCAAAACTGTGCTTATTAACAAGAAACCGTTAAAAAAACTCACGGGGTACTTAAAATAGTCAACATTCACACCATCGAGTGTGCACTTCACCCCTTCGATCCTCTTCACATCGTGCATTCTAGAAAAACAAAAAAGACTGTATAAGGAGGAAACATAAGAATAATTGGGATACCTGATATAGTAAGTGTGTCCTTCTTCTGCTAAAAGTAACGTTGAGTTTGTCATGTCAACGTTGTGATTGTCGGTACGGTCTGGAATATTTATATGTGAGATTTTTGTTTCATTTTGGAGCTTAAACTATAATAGAAGGGGCCCCGTACTATCAAGTTTGAGCTCAATTATCTTGTTTCATGTAAAAGATATCAAAAAGTGGTTAAGTGATAAAATTTTTGTCACAATATCACCAACATTTTATCAGTTGACACATTTTTGTTATCTTTTACAAAAATTAAGATGAATTGAATCAAAGTTGAAAGCTAAGGAGCCTATTAGAATGCACTCCTAACTTTCCACGTTGAGCTAATTTTTCTCATTTGCTATGAGAAATATCAAAAATCTGTCAAATGATGAAATGTTTATCAAAACATCAAAAATATTTTGTTAGTTGACAACTTTTTTGTATTTTTCTTTCGCAGAAACCGAGATATGTGGGCTCAAAGCTGACACTGTTGATTGCCTTTCTGTTACAGGGTTTCAGGTGCTTGTTCTTTAAGGTTGTGAATAATCTATCACATTGAAATTGAACCTAGTTTCTTTATGTTTCAAAAACTCACTTTGCACAACAATCATCCTTGAATAACAAGCATTTCCAAGATCCTCTCGAACACAGCACTCATACTCTCCGGGTAACTGGTTTCGTATTGCATTTGCTCCCGACAAAAACCTATAAAAAGTATCTCATCTTCAGTCTCTTGATTATTCATGCTCCACTATAACCATATGGACCTTCCTTTGTCTCTGTTTTTGCCATGTCCCTAGTAATTGCCCTCAATAAACCGGTACCTCTTTTTCTCTTTGGGCCGTAAAGCAACAAAACGGTTGTTCGTCCTTGTGAGTCAAGGGCACACGACAGACAGAGATCCTATTAGGAATGCTATTTGAAATTAAATACTCACACAAATTCGTTTCGATGGATTTGAGTTCGTTCGGGAAGAATTGAGGATCCGTTGAATCGCCAATGGTATCGACCGGTGTAGGAGAGATCGAATTGGCCGCAGAAGAATTTTCGTTCGCCTTCGGAGGAGATTTCCATGTCTTCCCAGGTTATTGTGGGTCTCTGAATATGTAGGAAATTGAATTTGGGATTATTTGAAACCCGAAACTTGAATTCTCATGAGTATTAGTACTGAGTGGAGAGCTATAGCTCTATAAAGTTCGGTCTAATTAGTTCAGTAAACACAAGGGGTACTGTAGCTAGCAAATCAATTTCAAAACTCCAATTTTTTGTACATGTAGTTTTGAAAATAATTTTAGTTGAAATTTGAAAAAACTGCAAATTTTATTAATTTACAGTTTTCTCACTACCATAAGTTTTCTAATAGACCACCCAAGCTTTGAGCTCAATTATCTCGGTTCCTATGAAAGATATTGAAAATCTGTCAATTGATAAAATATTGCTGATATTATGATAAATAATTTATCAGTGGGAAGTTTTTTGATACCTTTTAAAGGAAACGATAAATGATCTCAAAGTTGACGGTTTGGATGGGCTTCTTTCGGAGCAAATATGGTACTTTCTGTATTCTGCAATATTTAATGGGTCCTTAAGTTCTTCGAAAAGTTTCAAAAATGTGGGAAACAATTCAAATCAAGTTTGGGAAACTTTTTGAAGTTACAAGAGCTTCATAATATTTGGGAATTCGAAATTTCAGATTTGAGAATGCTTGTTAAATTTCCCGAACTTCAAATTTTCAGGATACTGTAGACCTTCCCTCTTTGAAACTTCGATAATTGTGTAATTCCAAAAACAAACATTTGAAATACAAATGAAAAATGAATGCTTACCATAATCTTCACCCAGTTGGCAGCAAGACAACAGGAAACAATGTTTGACACTAACAGAAACCTGTAATTCCAAATCTATCCATCAAAATCAATATCATCAATCATACCTGATCATTTTTGTGATGAGTAATAATCAGCTTAGTATAGTAATTAGTGAGGAAGCCTAGGTAGTCGGATAGATAGAGAAGGGTACACTTTGAGGGGCGGAGAGAGAGAGAGAGGGCAAATAGAAAAAGAAGAAGAAGAAGAGCGATGGGACGGAGAACGGAGAGGAAGCGGACACGCTGTTTGCTCGACTGAAACAATACACGCGGAATGATTGAAAAGATGTGGGTTGGGATGAATAGATAGAGAGTAGGAGGCGACAGACAATCAGATGTACCTTCCAAGGCTATTGTGTTTTTTTCCGGGAGCTTCGGACGAAGGTCCAACCCTTCTTTTATGGACTTTCCGATAGGGCGGACCGATTTGAATTTAATGGGTAATCAAGTTGATGACGATGGAATGGGTTAGGATGAAGAAGGCGGAAAGAATCTAGAGAAGAAAACGACAGATGAGACAGTGTGGACGTCGAATTGGGTAATCAAGAATTTCATTTATGAGAAGAGCGTCAAGGGATTTTTGATGGAAATCTGGCAAATTTGAACGGCTTGCTATTTCTGGAAAACAAATTGAAACAAAAACGAATAAGGTCTAAAACAAAAAATGTAATGTTTAGGGTACTGTAAAACCTGTAATAGAAGGGTCCCTTAACTTTTTAACTTTGAGCCAGTTTATCTCGGTTCCTTCAACAGATATTTAAAACATTTTTCAATGATACATTATCAAATTGTGTAGAAAAGAATTTAGATTAGCAACAAAGAAAACATTTGAAAAGTTCCAAAAACCGCAAAAAGATCAAAAAGAATCGCAAAACCTCGAATAATTTTTCTGGAAGATTCTCGAATCTTTTTTTTAAATTTCCGCCAAAACTGAAAACTCTGAAGAAGTAGCGATTTTTTTCTTCGCTTTTATCGAAAAAATTTTCGACCTTTGTAGGTTTTTCAGCTATTTTTGAAGATTCTTTTTCGATTTTTCCAAAGTTTTTGTCTGAAATTTGACTGGGTGACGTTCGCAAAGGTTACTGTAGATTACTGTAGAAACCCCAATTTCTTTTTGTAGTTTTTTTTGCAAACACAATCACGTCAACATGCGGTAATTTTTTTTTTTTGAAAATTGGAAGCTTTAAAAAAAGGAAATTGGTTGTCTACAGTAATCTACAGTAATCTTGGCGAACATCATCTAGTCAAATTTCAGACAAAAAATTCAGAAAAATCGAAAAAGAATCTTCAAAAATAGCTAAAAACCTAAAAAGGTCTGAAAATTTTGCAATAAAATCGAAGAAAAAAAACGGATTTTTTCGGAGTTTTCAATTTTGCCGGGAGTTTGAAAAAAAGATCAGAGAACCTTCCAGAAGTTTCCAGAAATTGAAGAATAGCGATTTTTCAAGTTTTTGCAATTTTTTTCAGTTACATTGGGGTTACTGTAACTTTTGCATTTGTGATCTGATGTGTTCCAGATCTAAAAAGGCAATTCAAATATTTTTTCGATACTTCTGTAAACTACCGTATCCCACATAACTTCACTCTTCTATTTCCCTTTTGAGCTCAATTATCTCAGTTTCTATGAGAGATATCAAAAATCTGTCAACGGAAAAAATTTTGGTGACGTTTTGATATATATATATATATATATATATATATTTTTTTTTTTTTTTTTTTTAATCAGTTAACACATTTTTGGTATCTCTCATAGGAACCGAGATAATTGAGCTCAAAAAGCTATAACAATTTACAGTAATCTGCGGTGTATAGAACTTTGCGGCTCACAGAATCATGATTCCTGTGAAACAGTTTGAATAGTAGACAATACTTAAAATTAGAACCCAACTCTGAAATACGCTCATCGTATTAGCTCAATTCGAAGCCTACCGTACACGTGCCGTTCGAGCTCAATTATCTCGGTTCATATGAAAGATATAAAAAATTTGTCAACTGATAAAATATTGGTGATATTACTCTAAATATTTTATCAGTTGACAACTTTTTTATATTCTTCACAGGAATCGAGATAATTGATCTCAAAGTTGACGGTTCGGGTAAGCTTCTAATCGAGGAAATACGGAATTTTAGTTTCGAGAACTCTCCCGTCTTTAGATGTACAGTAATCTCGGTTACAAAGTTGGCGTACACCATCTACCGTAGTCTTTAACCTTCACCATGAAAAATCCAAATTCACAACATCACATGGGCAAAAACACCATGGTGTTGGTTCTCAAGTTTTCCAAAACATCCTGTTTCTCGCGGAGGTAACATGACCCCTTGTTTTTTTTTTTCTGTGAGAAGAATATTTGTATTCGAACCGAATGTAAATATGCAAAATTTTGAAATCTAGATTCAGCTGAATTAGAATCTCTTAAAAGAGACAGATACTATAAAACCTGTTTTGGAACTTCTATTTTCTTGGGGTCTCTAGTGGGGCTCAATTAGAAGGGCCCTTCTAACCAGTTTATGGTATGGGGAAACTAACTTTTCTAGAGTACTGTAAAATTTTTGGTTGCTTCTCAGAGGAGGTTTTTCAATCCGATAAGATACCTCCATCCGATAAAAACCACTTGACAAAAACCAACAAGAGACAACTGTTTGGTTACATCTCCAGGTCACTGAATGATGAATGACATGAGGATCCGATGTTTCACTCATTTGACAAGTCGCCCATCTGGAGAGTATGCAACCCGGTTTCTTCGCCCACCACCCGTTTTCCACCATCGGCCGCTGCGCCCACGGGCGAAGCCACCGATGGTGGCCGAAGACATTGATCCGTTTCCTCCTCACTCTTTTTCTCTTCTGCTTGTATTTTTGCCTCCGTTAGCCATCATCCACCCTCACCGAAGACAATGGACACCTTCCACCCGATGTCTGTTGGTGCGTTACGAGGTTGGTGGTGTCTCCTTTTTATTCACCCTCTTCATTCCCCACACACTTTTGTTTTCCACCTTCTGTCCACCACGGTCACCCCCGTATTCTATTCGCCCGCCCTACCATCTCAACCTCTTCTAATCGTTTTCTCCGCTTTCTCCAAAGCCTCCGCGCGGTCAACGCGTCGCGCGAAGCACTGCGTCTCCTCGAATCCTACACTCTGTAGCCTGCTGCCGCTAAATTCAAATTCGGATATTCCATGGTTTTCGAAGAAGCGTTTCGCTTTTCGAATAGCATGATCTTTCTCCCAATTTATTGAACTGATCTGACCTTATTCTTTGAGTTTCGTGAGTTTGAACTGGAACTTATCGGAAATAATGGGCGGGGTTTCAGTAAATACTGTAGAATTATGGATTTCAAATTTCGAGAAAATTGAGTTTTTTCTACAATAAAACTGAGTAAAGTTTTAGTCTACCCACCAGCCTTTAAATGTGGTACGACCAAGAAAACGATCAAACTACACACGAAACCAAGAAAACAGTTTTTTTTTGCATGATTTCTCATTGATTTTACACGCTAAATATATTTCCTTGTCGGCTCATTGTTCTGTTCATCTCTTCTTTATCTTTTTGTTATAAGTCAGCAAATTTGTGAAATCCTGAAAGTTTTCTGAAATGTTCTTTTTTTCTGGCATGAATTTGGAAGTTTTTCTCTCTAGTTTGTATTTTGTTTTTAGAAATCATTTTTTTCTATATTTAATTTTGCTTTTTTAAATTGAAGACTTTTATGTCCTAATTCACTATTTAACGGAAATTTAGTGAAACGCCGCTGAAAAAAGAAAATGCCTCGAAAACTTTTATAATTTCAATTTCCCGCTCATAAAAAGTTATCCGTGGAGCATGTTTGCTTATCGGTCTTTTTTTGGCTTCCAGCTTTTTTGTTTTTTTCCAGCTCAAGTTTCCAGCTATTCAGACACGAATCAACACGTTTTGCACCCGATTTTCCTAGATTTTCGGCGATTCGATGTCACATAATTTTCTCGTTCTCTCCCCTACTAATTTTCCTCCTTTCTCGACCTAAAGGCGCGAACTTTCAAAAATGATTTCTTTTGAGTGACGGGACGTTGTTCACCCCTTTTTCTTAATGCGCCTCCTACTTTTTTCGCTTTTGTCAGGGGATACAAGACACCGGCAGGCACCGTATGGAACCACTCTCTTTGAAATTTATCACTTTTTTTTTCAAAGTAGCTGTGAAACCTACCCCTAACTTTTAACCCAATTTTTGAGCCAATTTTTCTCGGTTGCGGTCAAAGGTATAGGAAAGTTGTCAACTAAAAAATTGTTTGTCATAATATCACAAACATTTGATCAGTTGACACATTTTCGATATCTTGCATAGGAGCCAAGAAAAATTAGCTCAAAAGTGGAAGTGTCCTTTATAACGGGTTTTTTATAACAGGTTTTACGGAAACCTTTTTCCGGCAAATTTTGACTGTTTTTAAACAGCGAACTTCAGACTCTCTGTCCCATGAAAGTTCACACTACGAGTACTTTCGATCGCCTATAAGGGGTCCACTCTCATTAACGTCTTTCCCTCTCTCATCGGCGCCAACCCTTTTATGTATCATATCAAAAAAGAGAGCAAATACTCTCGCTCGCGCCAACAACCCAACTACCTTGTCCACTCTAAAAGGTGAAAGTTGAGTGTATGGTGTAGTACAACTTTTCACTCCTTTTTTGGCGTATTTTTCCTTCTTGATTCAAAAAAAAATAGGTTCTGCCATGCACACTGACCGTATTGTTTTATCACCCTTCTTTCTCGACCCTCACTGTAACTGATAACCCAATTTTCCCCTACGCGCGCGCCATTTCTGTGTCGGCGAAGCGTAATTGTTTATTTACAAATAGATGGCTCGCTTGGCGAGTAAATGGCGATTCTGAAAAATTCATGCTTGTAACGGGCCGGGTCGGGCTTTCAAAAAATTTGTCAAGGCCAGGCCCGGGAGGACCAGAAGGCCCGGCCAGTTGGCACCAGCTTTGATTTTTAGGCAAAAAAATTTTTTTTGGAAAAATGTTGTTTTTATCATCTAATTTTAAGCAAAATTGTAAATATTGAATTTAAAAATGGTTAAACAAAATTTTGAAAAATATTTTTTTTCTGACTTTTTTTTCCGGAAGTAGGATCGAACTGAAAATTGAATTTTTAAAGCAAAATAACGTTTTTTTCAAAAACTAATTTTTTTGTTAAAAAATTCTCAAAAATTTATTTTTAAAAAAATTTTTTAAATAAATTTCGACCAAAAAATACAGAACCGGGCCTTCCGGGCCGGGCCCTCAAAATTTTTCAAGGCCCGGGCCTTCAACGATTTTTGCAAGTATGGAAAAATTCCTCCTCTCTCGCTCGCCCTGGCGCCTCTCCTCGAGACACTACTCCACCAATTAGTATCGTGGCGCTAACAACCTTGGAGGTGAAACCCTTCAATGTCGACTCTCCTTTTCAAGCGTGACGACGATTTGGATCCCCCCCCCCCCTAATCTTGGGTTAATATCTGTCAACCGTTATTTTCTGTCTTGTCTCGGTTTCCATTAAAATTCAAATTCCAAACTTTTTCAAAGTTTTTTGAAACCTATTTTAGGCTGTTTGGTTCTTGTTGAGTAGTTGAATTCTGATTTATCATAAAACAGTTTTTTTTTGCTTTTCTTGAAGTATCTAATTTTGACCCAAATTTTTGATTTTGGCGTCATTTTTAAAATTTTCCCGTTGAAGCAAAAAAATGACAGATTCTGAGAAAAATCGGAGCTGTGGAAGAGAAAAGCCGGTGGCCGTGGCTGAAGATCCCAAATTGGCGACTACCGTAACCTGAAAATATTCATTTTCTCGATTTCCGTGCGTTTCTAGTCAATTTTTTCACTGGAAAAATATCTCCAAACTTGACTCAAAACGCACCAAAATTGAGAAAACAAATCCGGAAAATACAAGTATTTTTAGGTTACAGTAGTTGTCAATTTGGGATCATCGGCCACGGCCACCGGCTTTTCTCTTCTACAGCTCTAATTTTCTTACGAAAATAAATAGCTCTATTTTCCAAATTTCTCTTTTTCTCTCATGATCTCTATTTCCTACAACAAATACAACTATAGATATCCTTCGAAGGATTAGAGGTCAATCTCCTATTGTGCAACTATTCTCTCTTCTAACTTTCTCTTGGCTTTTTCGTTTGTTTGCCGGTCCCACAAGGATTGAATAGGTTGACGAAATGAGTCATAGAAAACAATTATCATCCATTTTTGGTGCCAACTTCTATTCTCCTTTCTCTCTGTCTAAAAGCCAACTTCCACAATCAATCGATACCTCTTCTCCCCTTTTTCGGACCATCTCCTATTCAATGTACGGTTGACGCAAGAGCTCTAGACTCGGGTCACATACGGCAAAGGACAGTTTGCGCAACCCCGATTGCGTGAACGTTTCCACCCGCCCATACATGCCAACGGTTGGTCCTCACACAGAAAAACCTCAATGCACCCCCTTTCCTCACCCTATTCGGACCTGTTCAGCTGTTGGTTTCTGTATAGATTCAGTTGCGGACCACCAGAAACAGTAGCAAAGGTGTGACAGGTGGTTTTAGATTTGCGGCCAGGTCGTTCTTGATGTCCTAATTTATAGGGCCTTTTTAGCTGAACATCTTTCTGAGGCTTTCATGTTATCTGCATTATGATTATTAAATCGTAATGTCAATCATAACGAATCTGCCAATTTTTCTCTCCTCCTTGTACGGTCCTTTCTTACCATCTGCAGTGCACTCTGCACCATATTGTTTATCGATCTAACAGTTCGTTCTTCTCGATTTGTTCCTTTTCGAAACATACAGTACCGGTCAATAAAATGTATAAATAAGTATTTTTTCTGTTGATTTTCGGCCATTGAAGCTCGGCTGTCAAGTTTTTGATCAATTTGAAAACTTTCGAGGATAAAACATGCCTAAATTGAAAACTTTGCTTTTACAAATTTTTCTCGAAATTCCTAGACTCCTGAAAGTAGTCAAATTTTATTGACCGGTACTGTATCGGAATTTCAATGTATGAGATCTTCTTTCATTGAATCAGCTTCCTCGAACTGTCTTCCTTCGTCTCCCAATCTTTATATTTTACCGATTTCATCCGTTATTCTCTCTAATTGAATATTTCAATCTCTTCTGTTTTCAGGGTTCGACTTACACCGCGCGTGCGCGCCTAGGAAAGCCTATTTATCAAGCGCTTGCGCTAACGACAGACTCGCGACGAGTATGAGATCCGCACTTTCTTTGAAGGTAAGCTTCCAATTCCTAAAATCCTATTCTCAATGCCTTGTATTTTCAGCCGAACAACGCAAGTTCAACAGCTCACAATGTGACACTTCACAAAGCATCGACAACAACGACTAATGCACCAGTATTGGGAGGAAAATTGACTCGCCAAATTGGTTCAAGCAATTTGCGGCGGGATATGATCACCGGCGAGAGTCCTCTGATCAAATTCGAAGTCAAAGAGAACTTTGAAGTTTTCGAAGACGTCGAGCAGAATGAGAATGTGGAGGTCGTGGAAGAGACGGATAACAACATCATACATGAGCTCGAACGAAAGATGGAAGAAAAGGTATGGTAAAAAACAGGCAATAATGTATACATAATTTTGGATTTTCAGAAAAATGAGCTCAAATTCATGGAACCTCGTGAAGCATACGATATGATGTCCCGTCTCTCGGAGCCTCCATCAGAAGCATTTTCCATTTCCACGAATTATGATGACGATGACTTTGATGTAAGGATTCTAAAGTTTGATTTTTTATATTTTTATCATGTTTGCAACGGGCCGGGCTGGGATTAAAAGGCAGGCCAGGCCAATGGGCTGCTCCCTAATTCGTCAAGTATGATTTTTATTTAATTTCAGAAAGTATCGGTTGCATCTTCCTTCACAACCACAGTCCGAGCATCATTCTCAGCATTCCGTATGGATTCTTGCGAGCCAACACCAGTCGATTTGAAAAAAGAGACAGTATCGGTTCTCCCAAAAGTTCCAACAAAAGAAGAACGAGATGATGCGATGTTCTCATCAGAAGAATATGCCCAGGATATTTTCAATTATATGCTCCACCGACAGAAGAAGTATCGCCCGAACGCCGATTCGTTGTTGAGACAAAATCAAGTCAACGAGGAAATGAGAACGATTCTTATCGATTGGTTCAGTGACGTTGTCAACGAGTACAATTTGGACAAGGAGACGTTCCATCTGGCAGTTTTGCTTGTGGATCGAATTCTTTCTTTCCTCCATGTAGATAAACATCAATTCCAGCTTGTTGGAACGACGGCACTGATGATTGCAGCGTTAGTTTTTTCTTTACCTTTTGCAAGTTTAATCTTCGTTAAATTTCAGAAAATACGAAGAAATCTTTCCACCAGAGATTCAAGACTTCTCCACGATCACAGACAACACATATGGAGTCCGCGAAATTCTCCAGATGGAAGCTTTCATGCTCCCAAGGCTCGACTTTGTCGTCTCCCTTCCAACAGCATCGTGGTTCGGTGCTTCGTTTGGAAAACGAATGAAGTTCACACTGTAAGAAATAAATAGGTTAAAATTCTAAAAAAAAACGTTTATTCTTTACAGCAAGATGAAGAAAACATTGAGCTATCTCCTGGATCTTTCACTCGTTGACATCGATTTCCTTAGATATCAACCATCTGAAGTTGCCGCCGCTGCCGCCTGTTTCACAAATGTTCAACATGACAAAGAAGCATGGCCAAAGCACATGGTTGATTTCACCGGCATCACAACGGAAGCATTCCTTGATGTGCTCTCTGAGCTGCATAGAATGTACATTTGTTCATCTACGTCAGACTGCAAGTCCTTATTCAACAAGTACTGTGAAATTGATCAGAAGGAAGTGGCTTTGATTTCGGCACCAACTGATAAATTGAGCAAAATCTTCCCAACGATTTTCGGAGCTCCTCCCAATAAGAAGAAGCCTATCGAGTAGCATTCCTCTCCTTGTTATACCCCTTATTCTACCCATACTTCTTTCTTCTGGTAAAACCTTCCCCGAATCTCTTTCACTGTCCCATGTTGTGTTTTATTCTCGTTTTTGCAACATTTAAAACCATTTTAAACATTTTAACCTATTGTGATTTGTGTAACACTTTTGTAATGTATTATTGCTTCCTCCCAATCCCTAAATCTTAAAATTCCACGGATGTGATCCGTTTTCCATTGTCTTATAAGCTATCTGTATCATGACCCTTTTCTTTTCCCCTTATTTATAATCAGTTTTCGAAACTGATCTTGAATTTATTTTTAGTTAGTATATAGGCTGTACTACAGCTCTTAACATCTCTATTGCTTGTTTCTCATTCTTTTATGATCATCTTCCCCCCAGAATAATCCCATCTCTGATCCCATGATTGATCATATCGAGACGGTCTCTTTTGCTATGTGTACTGCTCTCGTTGTTTTATATTTGTGCCACGATCTCATCTCGTCGTTCCTCTATCCTATCCTCTCTGGATTATCCATTATTATTTTTATCTCAATCCATTGGTCTTTCCCCGATTTAAATCACTCTTTTTTATCCCCCACAACACGTACAACGACCCACATTTTACTATTTATTTATTTTCTTGAAAACACTGAAAAGAAGATCTTCTTTGTCAAATGAAGTTCTGTGAGTTAGGCGTTCACTTATCACCCGTAGTAGTTCCCGTATTCTGAAAATTTTAAATGTAGGTCTTCAATTTTCAGATTCATTTTCCTACCTGATACAAACTGCTCTGCCATGTCTGGATCGATTTCGTCGATATAGGTGGAGCAAGACATGTACCAGATTCTGAAATTTTCAAACTCTGAAAATTAGAAGCTACGCTGACACCTAGCGTCTGGGGGTTAGAAACTATCACACTCCTCTCCTTGTCTTCAAAAATCAAAGGGTTTTGAGGCCAATGATAAGCTTGATATGATAAGAAAAAGAAGAAGACTTTGAAAGATTGGGGAGAAGAGAAGAACAAAAAACGAATTCGCGCAAAAGACGCACCCCAATCTTTCAAAGTCATGGGGCAGCGAATGATAAGGAAAAAGATAAAGAGAGAGAGAGAGAGAGAGAGAGAGAGAGAAAGTGAATGATTGATCTTCTTACTTGCAAAAGTACTTGAATCTATCTTCGATTCGCGACGGCTTACACCATTTCTGCATTCGATGGTATTCGTATTCGCACTGTAAAGAATTGAAGATTTGAACTCTTTTTGGACTGAGGACGTAATAAAAAAGTTTCGCTATTTAAAGAAAGAAACATCATCATTTGATTGATGAATTGATTTTCGGCCCTTGTGATACAATACAAAAAGAGATAATACACCCACCTTACACCGACGAGTACAATGCGGATGAACGGATTGATTACAGTTTGGACGGCATGGAACTATTTTTTCTAGCTGGAAGAAATTTAGAAAATTTCAGGAAGAACATACACAAAGATTTTTGTAATTTCGAGATGTTTTCTCAAATTGCGACCTAAATATTTCACAAACTAAAAATTTTCCTGTTCGCATTTTAACACCGTTGTGTTTCTCGTAATTGTTTTACCTTAAAAGCGTCAAATCGCGAGCTAATTTGTCAAAATTTAATAAATCGAAAAATTTTCGCGACCTCAAAAAACCTAAAATTTACAAAAATCCTCCTGTATACTTTCAGGAAAGAAGGAGAAACACCAAGGTTCATATCCGTCCTTTGCTGGCGGAGAGCGAGCCTGACGCGTTTGGTTACAGCTTTGTCTCTTTCAAACTTCACACCCAAGTTCAATTCCTAGGCCTAGATGAACCTTTTTTAGACTTTTTTATTGATTCTGGGCAGCTTTTGAGCGATTTTTGAGGTCGCGAAAATAGGTTTTTTTGATAATTAAGCTCTCAAAATGATATTTTCAGATTGGATAGGAAACACAATGGTATCAAAATGCAAGATGAAAAATGTCTCCTTAATATACTATGCAGCTCGCAATTCGACAAAATTCGAGAACTTTCTGATAAAATATTAAAGGGGGCGTCCGCTAATTCCAACATTTTTGAGATTTTTATATCAATCGATCCAGAATTTTGGGTCGGGAAGAAAACTATCTTGGAGGATAGTCCGG